TTATATGGCTAAAGTAGATATTGAGGCAGCTTATCGTCACATTCCGATAGACCCTTATGACTGGGACAAAACAGCCTTATGTTGGCCGACGGATTCTTTAGAGGACCTCTATTTTGACGGTTATCTGCAATTCGGACTGATGAACGCGTGCGAAGTCTTTAATCGCGTTGGCCGGGCCATTATTCGCATGATGGCTCGGCGTGGATTTCGCGTTCTCGTCGTATATGTCGACGACTTTATTATCATTTGCCCTAGCCAGGCTATGGCTTGGTACGTTTTCTGGGCGCTCCGAATTTTACTTAGGAAACTGGGATTTAAGGTTAACATGCGAGCCCATAAGTGTATCGCCCCTTGTCAGATCATCGATTTTCTTGGCATCACGTTAAATTCGGTGGCCATGCAGGCTCGTTTGAGTCCCGAAAAGCTGGCGGCAATTTCCGCTCTTATTTCGGCAATGCTGGGGCGATCTAGTATTACTCGTAAGGAGTTGGATAAACTAAATGGCAAACTGAATTGGGTTTGCAAGGTCGTATATGGCGGCCGCACATTTTTGCGTCGCCTGATCGATGCTCAATGGAGCGTTAAACGGCCTCGTCATCATATCCGCATTTCGGCGGCAATGCGCCTCGATCTTGAGTGGTGGCATCAATTTTTGCCGCAATTTAACGGCCAAACTGAGCTGATTCCTAGCAAACCTCTGTCTTTGGATGATTTTTCCACTGACGCGTCTTCGAGTTACGGCTATGGGGCGTTCCTATTAGGCGGATATTTCTCGCTGTCTTTTTCTCAAGCCGCATCACAATTTCCTGATGCCCCTGATCGTACAGAACCTATCCACGTACATGAGTTATTTGCAGTGCTTATACTGTGCCGATTATTCTCGGCGGCCTTAACTGGATTACATGTTCGTTTGCATATTGACAACACTATAGTCGTCGCAGTGATCAATAAGGGCACGGCAAAGGGCGAAACTGGCCCACGCATGATGGAATATGTCCGTCACATCTTCTGGCTTTCTGCCCGTCACAATTTTCGGTTAACCAGCACATATATCGCATCCAAAGAAAATTCATTGGCTGACGCCCTCTCACGAGGTGATTTTTACCGGTTTTCATCTCTCCTTACAGATTGGAAAAGTGGGCGTCATTTGGCACTAAAATCCTGAGCCTTTTTCTCCAGATCCGCCCCTCCCGGTGCTTATGGACAAGATGGCTGAGTACATTACCCACTGGTTGGGGACATCCTCCCAACGCAACTATGGCGCCCATGTGAGATATTATCTGACCTTTTGCTCTACGTATGACTTACGGCCTATGCAGCCGGACGAGGTAACTGTCTGCTTATATGTCACCAAGCTTGCAGAAACCTGCTCTTATCGTACAATCAAAACCTATCTGAATGGAATTCGCATTTTGCATCTTGAAGCTGGGTTTATGAACCCGCTCCCCGCCATGTTCAATCTGGAACGCACTCTGCGGGGAATAAAACGGGTTAAGGGCGACACACAACCTAACCGCAAACTGGCGGTTACACCTGACATTTTATCTAAGATCATTCGACGCTTGGATTTATTTGCTCCTGAGGCTATGGCCTTCGTCGCCGCAATGCTGGTGGCCTTTTTTGGGTTTTTCCGTAAGGCCAATGTGTGCCCTGTTCACGACGGCTCCAACCCGGTCAGTGATCAGTCTCCGGTTCGCCGAGGGGATTTTGAATTTGCCCAGGATATGTCCCTGGTTTGGGTAAACCTTCGCCGCACGAAAACAATCCAATTTGGTCAACGGACCCTTCGAGTTCCCCTGCCGGCTATTCCCGGTTCTATTTTGTGCCCGGTTAATGCCTTAAGCCGCCTATTTTCGGCCGTGGCAAGTGGCCCCGAGGATTTTGCATTTTCTTTTCCCGACCAACTTGGTCGCCTGACAACCTTAACCCACAAATCTTTCGTGGGCCGATTTAAATCTGAATTGTCGCAAATTGGCTTTGATTCTGCCCGGTATGCCGGGCATTCCTTTCGCCGAGGTGGCGCAACCTTTGCTTTTCAGTGTGGCGCGTCCCCGGCGCAAATCAAGGAACAGGGGGATTGGAAATCCTCTGCTTATCTGCTCTACCTGGAGTTCGACGACCCTGCGCGGGCGCGGGTCGCCTCGCTTATGGCCTCTTTTATTCTGCTGTCGACTTGGCGGTCCCCCGATCGCCCTTTCCCCCAGCGTCATCCCCCGGCGTGAAGACCAAGGCTCAAGTACCATTCTCGAAGACCAAGATTAGAGACCGGTGGATAACGCTAGCTGTAAGACCGCTCGGGTCCTTGGAGGGTAGGCTAGTCCTTTGTGAACTTTCCGGGGGGCGCGGTGACCTTGTACCATCACCCCCCGTCACTGAATACTTCAAAGGCGGACTCTGCCTATTACCCCCAAGTCGTTTGCAAATATTCATAGGCTATTATCGAATAAGAGATTGTGCGATAACAGTATTGAATAATTCGATAAGACTTTTTCGATAATATTTAGACTAGCTGCAGTCTAGAATAATAGAGTATAAATACCTTGCAGCGAGTCGCGACTAGCATCATTTCAACTCGCAAACTTTGCAGACGTTCGCTTTGCCCACCCGCCCTCTACCTGAACAGAGACAATATTTAGGGTAGGCTAGTCCTTTGTGAACTTTCCGGGGGGCGCGGTGACCTTGTACCATCACCCCCCGTCACTGAATAATTCAAAGGCGGACTCTGCCTATTACCCCCAAGTCGTTCGCATATATTCGGGTAGGTATCTCGATTTCACTTGAAGTTTCAAAGTCTCATGAAGGAAGCACTAGGATAGCAGAGCTCCTACTTGCTCAATTATGGTTCTTGCAAAAAGCGGCAAGGTGAAACGATTGCTGAGAGCCCTTTTGTACATAAATTGCTAGGAGCTTTTCGCCAGGAATCAGGACCAGTATTCGATATCTTGGGGGCTTCTAGTGACTAACTTTTGAATTCTAATCGGGGCAGCATTGCACTTGTAAACTGCTGGAAACATTTGGGACCCTGCACTACATCGGGGCTCTGAACCTGATCCGGGGCCATGTCACCTGTAGTTCTTTCAACAACAGTTTGCAACTGAAAAGAGCTTTGGAGAGAATGTGTATGGTTTTAATTGCCGAAGTGCATCTTGGGTGCTTGATTGTATTGTTCAGTTATTGTCCTTAAGGGGCGGCAGTGCGCGCCGATAGCATTGAACATTTTGGACAATACGGGCGGTGAAAGCTTCGACGGTTTGGGCTTTTCGCCACGTGGTGAGGTTGCGATGTAGTTTCTTTCAGCCACGTTTCTTGTGTCATGGTCGTCTTGCTGCAATGTGGACTCGCCAGTTCTCATAGTTGTTGACGCTTTTGTTCGGCTGGAGATTCCTCTGAAAATACTGTCCATTTGGTGATTAGAACCCGAGTAAATTTCTCGTATCGGTCTCTGATGAAAGCACTCACCATAGATTCTGGCTATGCATTTGAGCACAAGTTGAAAGTATGGTTTTCAATTGTTTCACAATGGTCTACCAGCAAGAATCTCCAGTCAATAAGAACATTCTTGCCATACTCATATGAGCGTAGCGCTTGCGCAAGAAGTCGGCGCCACATTAGGGTCTCGTCAAACCTCTCGGAGGGGCACTTGTTATCTTTTGCCCCGTTGAGCATCAGCTGCTGGGATTAGTCCGTGAAGTTTGACCATCGGCTGTGGCAGATCGGCCAGCTGTTATGGAGGCGCCTCCTCACCATTTCTTCCCCTTTGCCCCCACACGTGACATTCTTTTGATGACAAACTGCAGGTTTTCTTTTGACCCGTTGCATAAACCCATGGTCATCCGGAATAGGGGGGTTCATTCTTACCCTCCTCTTGCGAGAGCACACTTTACGTCCTGTCCTGACGGTGCACTCAATTCCCCGCTAAGTAAGACTCGCTTTAGGCCCAAAATCTCCGAGATGCTCAATCAGATCTTGGCCAGGGCGACTTAGCGGAGTTTCAAAAGCATGAGCTGGACTTTCCATCTCCTCTGTACTCTTTACAAAGATTCTTCAATGCTCATACAAACCCACAATGAATAGTAAAATAATCTGTCGTCCGGTCTCACCCATCTTTCCTTCGTCCCTAACGCCATTTTCCGAACCCCTTCATGGATCCTTGATGTCCCAGCTACTAGATGTGACCAAAATTTCCCGAAATTGGTCATGAGTCCCCCCCCCCCCCTCCCTCTAGATGGCGGAAGAGACCCCCCCGCCGCAGCTGGGCAGCTTCACGGACTCTGAGGGCGGCGAGGGGCGGCATCTTGTACAGTGGCTCAGGGGCAGCTTGAGTGCGGAGCGGGGGGCGAGGAAAGCGGCGCAACGCAGCGTGGCATCTTTGGAAGCCAGGGTATGCTTCAAAACATTCTTTATTTGGTCAAGGAAAGTTGTTGACACTTTTCAATCGCGAAATGTCGACTAGTGATCCTCAACGATCTTTTGGGATGTCTTCTTAGTTGACGTTTTCTTGCCTCGAACAAGGCGCAAACCCTGTGTAGCAAAGAAGTCTCCAGGGGCAAGCGCCTCCAAACCACTCGGAGCTGTTGTCTGAGTTTTGACAAGGCTCTGATTCTCCGAGTTTTAGGTGAAGGTTGACTTCCACAAATCGAAACTAAAGAGATCTTTTAAAAGCTGGCTTGATAAGAGTGTTCCGGAATATCTGGGACTTTGATCAACGGGGTGTGGGGCATTCTAGAAGAAGGTCAGGGGTCGCTTATCAGCTCTTCTAAGAAGTGTCTATGCGGTCTATGCTGTTCGCCACTGTCTTCCTTCTCCTCCAAACGTGTACCACAAACAAGCACAGTCCCCTTTGCCACTAAATCTGGCGTGTGCCGAGTCGACAGCTGGCGAGCCTCGAGCGACAGCTTCAGGGACAGAGACCGGCGCGCAGCCCCGCCAAAAGCCGGCTACGCAAATCGTCCGTAGGAGAGCCAGACGATGGACGAATGGGGGCAAATGAGACGAGGCCACGTGGCAACGAAACGGCGGGGACAAGTGGCGCCCAGGAGTGGCAGGAGCGGTTGTCGCCGAGACGGTCCCCCGGGCGGAGTGCGGGGGGCAGACGGGCGGGGGAGGTTTTCGAAGGGTAAGAGCGACTTTAAACGTCAGTTCGCTTTCACTCCTTCCATTCTCTTTCTCCAACCTAGGATACTCCAGCTTTCCGACTAGCGCACAAAGTCTATTTTTTGCTCCACTGGCACGGCCTTATGAAAGACACAGATTGAAGACATTGCTGCAATCAGGGCGGGTTTCGGAGAGCAGACGGGCAGGGGAGGTTTTTGAAGGGTAAAGAGCTAGGTTTCCTAAGTTCTCTCTCGCTCCTTCCATTCTCTTCTTTTATCCTTGATTGCGCGGCCTTAGACCCACGGTCTTGACCGGCAAATAATGAGGTTCTAAGACGGAGCTTTGGAGAATGATATCTAGAGAAAAGTGAGGCGCAGAAATATTGTGTGTCCGGTTGAGCATTCAGCAGGTTGGCAAAAAAGGAATTCCCGGATTTTGGAACGTATGCTGAGGGACTAAGCCTTGAGCATCAAGGTCTGTATTCCTTTTTCTTTCTTATACTTCAGCCAACACGGGGTGCTTTGCAAACACGCGAAAGCCCCAAACGGGGCGCATACGAAAATACTGATCACCCCTCACAATAGTATGTCTTCTCAACGATCGGCCACCTGTCTGCTTGACACGAAATTCCCGCTCAGCATTTGGCTTGACACGGTCCCCAGACAGTATTATCGGACTAGTCTTTTTCCTTGTCCGCTTTTGCGTACGTCACGATCTGAGGTCGCCGTCTAAAGCTTCCTGCCCGCAGTTGGATTTGTCCTTCCAGACATTGGTCCGAGGTACTCTAAGTGAGTCCACACTTTTCAGTCAGTCCGTCAGTCGACTTCTTTAAATGCAAGGTCGATGGTGACAGTTGCTCAGACGACATAAGCAGTCCCTTTCGGAGACTTGTTTTGACTGAAAGCAATTCGTCATTATTGACCACAAAGACTTTTAAGCTACTACATGAGCTCATCTGCGCAATCGCGCCGCAAACTCCGCCTTGGCTGTCGGTCCTTGGAAGTATCGACATGGGTTGTTCTCTCCGTGAGCTTTTTGAAACAGCGACTGACTTCTGCGCTTGTGTGACCGTTCGCTGGCGCACAATCACTGCACAAGCCTTTTGAGAGGATTATATCGGAGAAGGGGGCCAAAAAGCAGAAAGCTAATATCGTCCTGTTGGCTGTAATGTTTGACTCGAGGATTATTGTACCACGTTTTGAATCGGGAATGGGTGCCCTTTGAAGGATGCCGTCAGAAACGAAACATCTACTGCAAAGGTTCCCGGTACGAAACAAGGGTTGCTGAGGAAGCACGTGAATTTTCTGCACACTTCCAGTACTACCTCCTTGGTCTGATCAGAATGTGGGTCATCGAAATTTGTCATTCAAAAACGGCATCGCTGCGTTGGAAACTAAACGATATACTGGGCTGCCCTCGGGAGGTCGCTTGAGTCGCCGCGCGCGCGCGTGGCAGACGTTCAGTTTGGGTAAAACTGCTTAGCGCATGCAAATGTCCCCTTTTCGCATAATCGTTAATAGGCTGCAGGACTGGAGAGCACAAAACCTCGCTAGCATTAACGATGACCTGACGCTGTGGTACAAGTAAGGCTTACACGGTGTGTGACAATTGGCTGACGCTCTGACGAACATACAACCGACGCAAAGGCGTGATCAAGGCGAACGCTTTGACGTGTCTGTAAGTCTGACGCTCTGACAAATGTAAGGCTGACGCTGTGACGTATATAAAGCTGACGTTGTGATTGCGTCACTGGCCGCAGAATGTCGCTCGAGTCCGCCGCGTGGCGCGCTTGGCAGACGTTCAGTGCAGAGATGGCGCGCATCGCGGAGGAGCGGGAGGCCCGGCAGAGCGCGCTCGAGCGGAAGGTACGCCCGCGAAAAACCGAACAACTCACAGGACAACGTTGTGAATAATCTGGAAATCCGTAAGGCTGCCCCAGTTGCAACTGCGACCGTTTCCTTCACGCAAGGAAGATTGAGAGGGGTGTCAATCACGAAAGCCCGTTGCTCTTCACGAAGCAGAGAGCGTATACTGAACCGGCCAATTGCAGAAAAGCGCGAGACTTCTACGTCTCTGGCAGATATCTGATTGTCCGGCCTCGATACGGACTTTTCATGGGTTGCTGGGAGCTCCTTCGAATCGTTTTAAGCTTCCTGTGTGTGACGGCTGGACCGTCTCGTGAATCTTCCATTTATCCATCACCGGCTACGCTGCAAAGGGCTGAAGTAAACAAGAAATATTTACTGCAAGTTCACTGGTCAAATCACGCCACGTGGCACTTCGCAGGTGGACGGGCTAGCGAAGCAGGTCGACTCGCTGCTGCCGGCAAATCCGCCGGCCGCTTTCCCCGGGCACGGCTCGTTAGCGACGAGCAGCGGTCGTTGGGATCCGGTTAGCATCGCCCCAGACTATCACGACGTCCCGGGCACCTCTAGAGAATCCCGGGGGTCGAGAAGTGCGGAGACGTCAAACGGAAGCGGTTCTAAGTTGGGGCGGAACAGGAACGAGGGCAGCTGGAAGCTTACCATTCCGGGGCAGCGGAACGACTTTTTCGCAGCGGAACGGGAGGAGTCTCCGACGGAAAGGGCCCACGTGGACAGCCTCGCGATCTGGGGGGGCTTTCCGAGTGTCTCTGGGGCCGAAGCGCGCCCCCCCAAAGAGTTTGCGGACAGTTTGTCTGCGAGCGGGAGTCTCGCTTTGAGTCGATCGGGGGGCGCTAGAGCGACGCATTTACGGACGTCGTCGGAAGGGGATGCTCCGCTGTGGAACGGAGACCGGAAAACGGAAAGCGATTCGGAGCATGGGGGCGATGTGAAGGATGCGGCTGTTGGCGGAACCCCTAGCGGAACTCGCGAAGAGGAGCACATCGAAGCGGCCGAGGAAACCGGAATAGTTCCCAGCTCCAATCCCGAGTTGCAGCACGGGGCTCTGTATTCACCGTTGGAGGATGACACCGTTTGGGAGAGCCTTATGTATGGCGGGCCCCAAGACCCCGCTAGTGTTCAGGAACCAGACGGCTTAGAAAGCCACGATTATGAGGAGGTGCTAGCGAAAATCCAGGGACACCTGGATAACAGAATGCTAGGCTTTGAAAGATATGGAGGAGGCGCGATTCCGGAAGTGGACGGAATTCTGGACGGATTCGGAGGAGCGCCGCAAACGGAAGCGGCGACAAGACCCCCGCAGATGCCATACGTGACGTTGCCAAACACTCCGTTGCACGAAGCGGCCGGACTTCGGTCGCAATTGAGCCGGTCGGACAGTGGGGCTAGCTCAGACTTCAGGTAGAGTCTACATTTTTGCAGAGTTCCCGCTCGCAGCTATTCATTCGTTACCAACTCGATTCGAAGTTGGTCATACATTGGGAACATCCAAACTGACGTTTGACAAAGATCCAACAGCCGCCTGCACATTTTCACCGGAAATTGCTCACCGCAGCGCAAAATTACCACGAGCTTATCGACATTGGATGGGCAGCTCCCGCTCGACCAGCTGAGTCCTCATGTGACGCAGCGACCCAGTTATGATACGTCGACGATATGGACATTCGTCATGGCCGGGCAGCTACTTAATTGTGGTGCTCCACGGCGCTGTCGCGACCGTCCGACCTGGCGGCAATTCGTCAACTTAATTATGAGGGCATATATGATCATATGTTATGAGTTCTTTGGTATTCCAGTGTTGGTGCGGATGGTGCTTCGGCCCCAGCGGCGCGGGCCGGTCCGGCCGCAAGACCGACAGTCGTGTGCTCAACGTATCATTAAGCACGCACCAATTGAATCAAGTGACCTTACGTGCAACACCAATCTGTTCAAGAAGTTTCAAGACACGTGACCATGAGATATAGCTGCACGTGCGGCGCGCACTGCGGCAGGTCATGCGGGTATGGATCGAGCCAGTCCGACACGTACTGGCATGCACATGTGCATGACGCGTATACAGTATTCAGCTGACCGCCGGTTGGCAATCGTACTGACCATCCTGGCATGCGGGCGACCAGGCACTGAGACCGCGCGCGATACTAATAATTCGACCGTCGTACTTTATGGGCATGCCCATGGTGCAAGCCAAGCCTCAATGCAGTCTTTCATGCATCATCTGTCCGTATACTTATGACAAGTATAGCGTACGTTATATTCTCGATCAAGTTCTATAAGGTTTTGAGTCATTGGATCTGGCATATATTCGACGGAATGCACAGGTGCAACGACAATTCGTAATCCGAAAAACTTAACAATGATCACGCGGTACCCGTATATCACTGATCATCTGCAATATCAGATACAATCACATTTGCACGTACTGAGAGCACAACACACTGCCTGCATCATATCAATTCACACTACGTGGCTGAGTCCACAGATAATTGAGAGGTTTGTTGCTTCAAGTTCGAGATTCAATCGGTGATGCGTCAACGTACCTTAGGCAAGCCTCTACTCGTCACATGCCGGCTGGCCGGGCCGTCAGCAAATCATTCATGACACCGTCTGAACGACCGGGCTCGAGATCGTCTTTATATGCATCCGTCGATCTATGTTAAGCGTGCTGCGTGCAGTTTGATCGAGCTACCTAGCAACAGCAAGCAAGTGGGCACGTCGCCAGTCTATAAGACCACGGACCCGCCACAAAACTTTGACGAGCGCGCCTAGCTTTGACGAAGCAGCAAACAAGAATAACTTACAGAACCTGGACGATGTCTATTCCCAAGCGAGGAGCCGCAAGCATGCTTATCTTTATCCTTGTCCCACATTGAATCCTTGTGATGTTACCCGTCGAGTTCTGGTGTCTTCTCGAACTCGTGAGTCGCCTTCAACGCGTGCTCTGGGTAACGAATCCCGTGTACAAGGTGAGCGGGAACTGCGTCTTCCAACTCTTTAATCTCCTCTGGGGAAAGCTTGATGTCCAGTGCGCCCAAGTTGCTCTCGAGGTTAGCCAATTTCTGGAACAGGTAGAGGAGAGAGCAGAAATCAGAAAATTTCCCTTCCGGAACGGGTACAAGTCGAGCATTCTTGCATCCACTATAGATTGGTAGTGTGGTTAGTCGGGCCTCACTACATCCGTTTTCAAGAACGGGATTGTTTTGCCAGTGAAAAGTCGAACGGTGGATTCTGGCAGCGCTCCAGTGGAACCCCGAATTACGGGGACTCCTTGAGGGTTGCCGCTTTCGATACTTTCCTTCAGCAGAGCGTTGCACAGTCGTGTTGTGTCGACCAGTTTTCGAGGTTTTTGACTTGAAGCCTCCAACAAACTTTGCGAGACTCCTGGCGAGAGCAGCACCGTCGCCTGCGTTAAGGACGCACCGTAGTCCCCGGAATCGGCACGACGTCATCCCCACGTGAGAGAACCCACGCCAGCGCCAGCTGGCTGGTCGTCGCGCCCTTCCGCTCCGCAATCTTCTTCACGTTCTCCAACAGCTGCCGATTCTTCTCCAGGTTCTCAGAGTTGAAACGCGGTGTGATGGCCCTGAAGTCGCCTGGCCCGATGGCGCTTGGCTTGTCGGAGAAGAAGCCGCGGCCGAGGGGACTGTAGGCAATGATGCCGATTCCGAGCTCCCTGCAATAAATGCGGTTCTGCGTGTGTCCTCAACAATTAACAATGAGGTAACCAGCCCGTCCTGTTAACTTGGCCTTATATTGATTTCGGAGAAACAGGCTGGAAGGTAAATGCGGAGAGAAACATACTACCTGAATCCCAAACTGGAATATTGCGTCTTACGCTTAACAAAAAATCCCCGCCAGATGACCGCATGCCACCGAGACATAGGCCCAATCCCAAAAAGCATACCAGCGTTTCCTCGAAAGCTGAGCCTACGAATTCACCAGAACGCTGGTTAAACCAACTCAAGGAAACCTCACCTGCGCGCGGCATGCTTCTCCACTGGCTCATACGAACTGTTCACGAACGATGTAGAACAAGACCTTCTGTATTCATTCAAGGAGCCCCCAATTCGCACCTACCTGCAAGTGGGAATAATCTCTGCCTCCACAGACCGCTCCCAAAGCGACCACTCGAGCTCGATCGCTGTGATTGGGTGCACCTTGTGAGCTCGTCGGATGGTCGCGGCGCTCACTTCTGACAGGCCCAGGTGCTTGATCTTGCCCTCGTCTTTCAACTCAACCATGGCTTTCACCTGCTCAGGGGTGGAAACCCATTGCTAGCTGAAGGTCTGGTCTTCTGAAAGGCTGGTCAGTTGCAATGGCAGTAGACGAACTGCTATCAGACCTACGATGCCATTGGCAATTGGTGCACGAAAGGACAGCAGATCAAGTTTAGGTCTTTCAAACGTCGTGTTGAGCCTTGCAGAACCTTTGTTAGCTCATGCATCACCCAAATTGAAGCAAGTCGCTATGCACAACAACACCAATTTCTGCAACTTCGAAAAGTGCCTCAGGGGTGTCTAAGTCTGTCTATTTGATGTGACCGTGCTGCGTAATCTGGTCACAACTCTAAGCAAGATTGAACAAAAGAGGGGAAGGCCTCTCACCGTAGTTTCAATTGGGACTTTCTCATCAGTACGCGCCAGAATATACAGATCTATGTACTCTGTGCCGAGTCGCTTCAAAGAAGCCTCGCAGGAAGCCCTGACAAAATCTGGGTCTGCTTGGAGCTGCAGGCCATGTTCGCTCAAGATAGCACCGAATTTCACAGCCAACACGACCTGGAATGTACAGGCATCATGACGTGAGTCCTAAACCAGTCACTGCTGCATCCTGGACAGTCCCAAGAAGAAGTGAAGGAGGTGGAAGATCAACGAGCAAAGCGGAACATTTTGTCTAATAGAAAACAACCACCAAGTGCACAGGTTGGAAGTCCACTTGTGTCAGATGCATGGATAGAAGTTGGCTCCATCACTTGAGACTGATCAAGACAATAATGGAAACCACATAAGATCTTAGCTCAATTCAGTCTCCTGGCGCAACAGGTTATGCTGCAAGCCTGATTCCAGCAAGCGCAGCAGATGTTGACAAAGAGTGACACAGATGGCACTCCCAGAGAAAGATAGCACCACCATTTGACCTGACTTCAGGAAGAAATCTTGTGCCAGAAAGTGTATTTGATAGTGCCACCCGTCTGAATACAAAGATCGCCTCAGAGCACCACCATATGCAATAGCCACCTAAAGGCAGCAGTTTGTGTTGGAAGTATTATAGAAGTATTGAAGACACCAACATGCAATCACATGGTAGTCCCACCTTCTCCCTCTGGTGAGCGAACGCCTTTCCAAGCAGCTTCTCGTTGTGACCATCCTTCCCATAGAAGTCGGCTGAGTTGAAAAGCGTAATGCCAGAATCAACAGCCTTCTGTAGCACAGCAAGAGACTGTTCCTCCGCAGGTGGTGGCCCATAGGCCCAGCTCATGCCCATGCATCCAAACCCGAGCTTTGAAGCTTTCAGACCTTCCTTACCCAGGGCAATTGTGGGGTTGTTTGGCGCCATAACTCAGTGTAAACCAGGCAGAGAGTGCATACAGAAGCAGCTGGCGCCTGTAGCAGAAGCAGACTGAGAAGGCAAAGCGGAAAATTGGCTGGCCAGGTAGAATCTGAACAGAGCTGGAAGCAGAGCTGCAGCGCGGCTGCCCTGCGGACAGGAGGGTTAAGGAAGGGCCTACCTTAACCACTTACTTTACCCATGGTTAAAGACGGGTTTCGAAAGTGTGGGTTGCCATGCTGGCATCCACGCTGGCGGGGTTGCCCACTTTTGGAATCTGAAGCTTGAACGTCAAATGATGTCCATGTTTGACACACGATCTGACAGTGTCAGAAGCCAGTGCTCGTGGTTCTCATTCTGCGCCAGTAGATTGACCACTTTGGTTCCATCGGACGGTTGATAAGCTGCCTGGTTTTCTGCACCGGCACGTTTGTCGGGGAATGATGGGAATCAGCGAAACGCTCCGCAATTAGAAGGAAGGGCTGGTTATCAAATCCGGGTTAGCTATTGCGATGCTCGAAAGCTGAAGATTGCCTATAGACAAAGCTGGTTCAGGTTTGCTGATAACCCGATTAGGGTTTTCATTCAGGTCAGTCTAGCTAGTGCCCTTTGGGAAGCTATCTAGTCTACCACGGTACTACTCCTAGAGCCTGAGGAAGTTGAGCAAAGGAGGATTCACTTTTGAGCTCAGTCAGGGCGCCTCCCTGGCGCAGGCGCACTTTTTTTGCATCTGAGCTCTTCCACAATGGAGCTTCAAGTGGAGATTTCGGGGACCAGATCTCCCTAGCAAAAGGCTCCTCCACTCGGAGCGAACGCAGCATGGCGAGGGCCTGGTGTGCTGCACTCTTAGCTCTGATTGTCGCATGCGCTTTTGCCAGTGTGGCAGCTTTTGATAAGCCGGGTTCTGCCTCGACTCTGTCTGAAGGAGCTCAGGAAGCGGTGGGGGTGAGCCCCGTGCCTGACTGCAAGTCGGTGATTGTGCATGATCAGATACAGAGCCGCCTGAACGCCCTCTCCTCGGCCTATGCCAACAACGACCTGGAGGCAGTACTCCGCCTGTATGCCGAGGTAAAGTGCAGCGCAGCAGAAGATCTTTTGTGAATGTCTTTTTGGATAGATAGGAATGTGCAGCATTTTTTTCTGCGTTTGGATCAATCGGTGAAGCATGCAAAGGACAGCGAATCTATTTGAATCTTTCTTGAGGGCTGAGATAGGAGCTGAGATATGTTGCTGGATGTCCGTATGCAAAGCGATTGTAGATATGTGGTAAGTGCCTCTTTACCGCAAGGTTGGTAGATCTTTCCATGCGGCAATAGCAATTATCGATTCTGAGGATGGGAGCAGGTTCGTATTTCTCCGGATGCTACAATGTGGCAGCCTGCCTTCTGTCCAAAAGCACTTGCGTGAATGCAGATTTTTGCCACATTGCATCAGATTCTGCCAAGGAATGTATACCAAGGAACAGAATTTTAGAGTTTGCTGTGGGAATTATCTGTCTGACTTCATCCAAGGTGGAAGGTTCCTGTCTCTGTACAAGGCTTTCATTTCTTAGCATTGCAGTTGTTAGAATAGAACACGTTCACCAGCTTTGTTTCAGCATGGCTTCATGCAATGTGCTCTGTTTGTTTGTCAAAGGATTGGAAACGAATCTGTGTCATGTTTTTGGGAAGGATCGGGTTTCAGTCGGCCTGGCATATGGAGCCTGCAGATACGCGCAGATGCAGGCAATGCCATCTCCTGGCACTGTAACTTCTTAGAGTGACTACATGAGATTCTGTGTATGCCATGACAATGCTGTCATCCAAGCGGTGCGGAGCACGTTCGCAGCGTAATCCTTTGCAGCAATGCAGCTTTGAGTTATGGCATTCGATAGTAGATGGCCTCCTGTCCGTTGCAGTAGATTTGTTGGTGCCTCTTATGCACAAGGAAACTTGCAGTATTGCCTGTTAAGCAAAACCCTCTGCTTCAAAAGCAGCAAGCATACTCTGCAACAAACAGTCCATCACTTTCTGTTTCCTGAAGGAAGGATGATATTGACAGGTCAGGGGAGCCTAGCTTTGAGTTAAACGCTGGCATTTGGCATAGGTTCAAAAACTTGGTCACGCATGAAGCGCATACTAGTTCCTGTCCAACGAATCCTGGCGACTTGAAGCAACTGGTCTGCATTCGGTTAATGGGATAGTTTGGGAGGCTTGAGACGTTTCGTATAACCTGGGTTCACTAGAGCACCAGCCCCACAGATAGTCTGCCTGCTCTGTTAGCCTTTGCATGTTCGGATCCACTCTGAAGAGTTTGAATAGATTTGCTCTGGATCGGAGTGTATGAAGGCGCATTCCTTCTGTCACAATATTCTGAAGATGGAGTGACCTTCTTTGATCAGTTTTACCTTTACCAGCAAGAAATGACACTCCACACCTTTGGATCGGTGTACTTTTAGCATGTAACACATACAACAGCGTTGCTGTTCATTTCACCTGATTGTGATTCCAATCTTCGGGACGTCCTTATGAACAGCGGCATCCGCGCAGACCTTAGCTTGCCTGAAGTGCCTCATTTTTCCACCAACTTGATTTTCTCGCCACTTTTCCATCTCCTGTCTGATTCTACTTGTCTTACCCCCTTTTCAATCAAGGTCACTCAAAGCACAAGAATCCAGTGTAATACGTTGTCCTTGCGGTGTTACGGGCTGTGGAAATATCTGCCCCCTCAAGCCTCCCCTGACTGCCTTCCTTTCAGTGATTGCCCTCCCTTTCACGAACCCCTTCTCTGATTCGTCTCGCTCCCTGATGACCCTCAGAAGATTTCCTTCTTTCCTTCCATGGCCCTGTCAAGCAAGTGTGAGAATCCAGCGGGTTAAGTATCACATTCTGAAATCTAACAAATGACAAATAATGCTTTCCCCCCCCTCCAGGATGTGGTGGTAATGCCCCCCGGGCACGACATGTTCAAGGGCAAGACGCACCCTAAGTTCGAGGAGCTGTGCATCAAGCGCATGAAGGAGATCTGCAATTGCACGACGATTTACAACGTGCAAGTAAGGGTGGCTCTGTGATTGCTCTTATGTATCTGCTAGATCCGGATCTCTGTTCTTCGGTCTTTCCATCCATTCGCGTTTTATTGGGGCTTCAAACATGGATATTTACATAGAAAGTGTGGCTGAAAGTGCTTCCTCTTTGCTGGGTTTCTCTGGAAGGGGCATCTAGGACCTGGTTACTTTGAGTACTACTTAACGCCGCGACCGTAGGTAGGAACCATCCAAGGAGTGCAGGTCAAACAGGATTCGGTCAGCCCTGTAAGTGCCAAGACCGATCCTTTCACCCGTCTTGAGAATAACAGAAAAGGTACTTCGATTTAAGGTGGATTTAGTTTCGCCTAGGGGCCCAAATGCAGTTGAAATGACTCATCAGAATGCTCAGCTCGAGTCACTTATACGTCGTTCATAATGGGGCAAGCGACCTTCACTCAGTGCATGTTCTCTCTGAGGGCCTCTGATACCTTTTTTCGAATGTAAGTTGCGGATCCGGATGCTTGTAAATTCCTTCAAGGTTGCACGGGAATTTGACCGGAGCGACCTTCTGCGGCCATCCTAAAGGCCTCCCTTTACCAGTAGAGCTTGGAGTATGACGGAAGTGACATGGCCATCTAGAATAAGCATCTGAGTCAATTGTTGGCCCATGTTGACTGACCTCCGATTTACCAGCTTTTTTAAGGAATGTGATAACCAACTGGCCCAATCGATTGACTCAACGACGTGCAAAGTAAGGGAACCAACCAACTCAGCAAGTGAAATATGCAAGAGTTTGACCCAAGTCACTGAAACCACTTCTTGGGATCATTCTCTTAGGAGGCGGTGGTTCCAGAGGGTGAGGAGGGCTTGTGCGGAAACGCATTCGTACGGGACAGCTTCTCGACGCTCAACGTGACCACCCAGGTAGATCCGTTGGGACCGCCCCGTTGTCTATCTCAGAACCGTTCCTTTGCCGTCATGTTTGACATTGACGAACAACTCTGGTCAGCTTGCTGCATTTAGCATGTCCTTTTTGGGTTCCCAGGGTCGAATTGTGGGTGTCTTAAATTTCTCTTCAATACACCCTGTGAGTCTTTTTTTAGCAACGAGGCAATAGCATCCCCTCCCTTTCGTCTGTCCAACCATTTCAGTGCGTAACTAGTCCTCTTTCACTGCTGACGCTTCCTCGCTCCTTACTGCTTCCCAGGATGTTCTGACCATACAAGCAGGCTACCAGACGACTCTCTGGGCCAAGCCAGACGGAGTCTGGGTTATTAAGTGGGTGACATGGACGAACGTAATGGATCCATCGCCACAAGCACTACCCCCCCAATTTGCTATGTGATCGAAGTGGACGTTACCTCCCCAGCTTATGATCCGACCGAGCCGGATTCAGGCGTTGCTCAAGTAAAGCAGCATAGGTGAAGAAAGGGAGCGATGCCTGCTCAACGAAACTCCAATCAGTGCTCGATTGGGAGTGTTCACCTTAGGTCCAGCCTGCATTGCAAGGCTGTAACAGTCAAAGTGGCAGTGCACGCTAATACTAAAGCATCGCACTGAGGTTTGTATAGATTTAGTACAGATTACCGCACGTATAGCTAGCTTGAACAGATTCTACCCATGCATTTGTAATTTAAACTTAAACTTGATTGAAGATTGAGTTTACTAGAGTGCTTGTCGTTGTTTATCAAGTGTTGCACCGTCACAGAGAATTGGGGTGGCCCGAAGCCGCTTCAAATCTCGTCAATTACTGAAACCCGGCACTGTCGGAAGCGGTGCCAGGCACACTTATGTAGTAGCGCAGCAGTGGAACGTTTGGGTGCATCACGACTGACTGAAGAGCTGTCTCCTGCGGCCTGGCTCGCACTCGCGTTTACAAGCCCATGGCATAATTTTATATACTTGAATCATTGTCAGAATCAAGTTCAATTAGCTTGCGTTTAGATCCTTATGAGACTAATTTACTACATAACAACTTTGCGCAGATATGGCCGCAGGACATGCATGCATGCATACATATATACCACATAAGTTACTAGGAAACGAACTTAGAGCGGTGCAATCTCTTTTAGGGTGTGCCATGCTGTCACTGACCGGCGGCCGGCTGTCTCTTTCTGATCTGGAGTTTGAAGACCCATGCATACATCTAATTTTAGGAGGGGCCGCGCGTAGCCTGAGTGCCATGCAGATTATTGAATATACAAAGCTATATCTATGTGTGTGTATGGATCATCAGGTTATGCACCAAATGGTGTACTTGAATGCTTGCCATCAGGATTAGTAGCGGCGGTCCTCACTGCAAAAGTCGTAAGTCCTTCCATGGGATACCAATACCACTGCATGCAGTGCTCGCAACTTTCGAAATCAGACCACCACCAACAGGCAGAAACAACTATTGTATCCGCAGATTAAGGGCGTATGCTGCAGATATGCTTTCTATGACCTCTATGCTATTCCTGCTTCCAAGAGGCACGCTTCTACACACCTAACACCCTAGGACCTGACAGGCAAATCCAAGCAACTTCCCTCCGCACGCTTTACCGTGGTCAGGTAGTTAGGGTATAATCTCAGCATCAGAACAGCGGTGTCACGAGGACAGCCGCCGTCTTCAGCACCCCTAGTTGCAGGATTTGCCAGGCACAAGACATGCACGACTTTCGATCCAATCACAAGCCAGGGAAACAGCTTCCTAACCATTCATTTATCCTGCCTGTACATGGTGAACCTTCCGGAGGCACTCGTAGGCACGCCCGAGCTCGAAGTCTGCCCTGCAAAGCACTGCAACAGAGGAGGCCCACTGAGAGAACCGTTGCTACAAATCAAATGCACGCCTTGCTACAGGAAGAGCGCACGCATTGCTCTTTTTCATCAGCATCAATCAGGATTCGTCTCATCGGAATCCTTCCACTAAAAGCAGCAAGATCCGGCTCAGATCTCAAGACAGCTTGTCCTCGTTAAAGGGAGTTCCTCTCGACGCCCTCATTTTCGAATGTTGTAAGCGCCCGCCTCACCTCACGGAGACGCCCCCGCGCGCGCCTTGACGTACTCCTCTGGCAGGTAGATCTCGCCGCCCGCTTCGCCGTGCTGCTCCCCGCTTACCGTCTTCTTGGCCGCCTGCAGCCAAGCTATTGGGTTGATGAGACGCTTATAACGTTTTTGGGAGGGTTTGGCTGTGGCTTTTTTGACTGGGTTTGAAATATGAGAGAATTTGGATCTGGCCGCCTAATCAGAGGCTCCAGCAGGCGTAGGAACCTTAGCCAGCATTTCCAGACCGGCCGCTTAAATAGAAGCGTCGAAGCGATCCACTCAGGTCCCGTCTTCTTGGCCAACCCGCGAGCAGACCGCCGAGTTTGTGAGACGTTCCAGACTTTACAGACGTGACAGACGCACCCAAAACCTCCAGATTGGTGGCTGAAATACGGTTCTGCAACAATCCACTCATTACAGATTAAACCCTCCGAGCGAAGCAATTCGACTTTTGCCAAAGTGCACAATTCACACTCCTTCGGCGCTGCACATGACGCTGTCAATGACCTCGCGCCGTCTTCTCTTTGTCAGTACTTGGGTCTCGTCCACCGATCTCGACCCCACCCTTCCTTTATTGCGTTATGGACGCTGACCTGCAAGGGGTCCCCCTCATCCGCTGCATGTGCTATACAATCATCTGATCTTCTCTTCAAATTGGACTCTTATCAGTGAGAAGCCACCAAACTTCCTTTCAGCTTTCAGCTTTCAGAATTTAGGGCACTGTATTGTTTTCGGGTATCTGGAAGTTTCATAACATCCGAAGCAAAGAAGCACTGCAAGAGCAGCGCGGATGGCTCGCCTGGAACTCCGCGCTCATGGCCGCCATGCCCGCCTCGATCGCCTCCACGTCGCCGTAGCCATGCTCGTCCGCGTACTTGCGGACGTCCTCCGTGATCTTCATCGAGCAGAACTTGGGGCCGCACATCGAACAAAAGTGCGCCACCTGCAGAGAGGGGTTTCGGATGAACTGAGTCCGTTGGCGCAATCTTTTCATGCAAAGAGCTTGGCGATTCAAACGCTTGCCGCCATGAACGTAAGAGATGAGAATCGTCGAACAAAAAGAATGAAACCTTCGCGAACCTGAGAAGCGGACACTCCCCGACAGACCCGAAGGCGAAAGCGTCTCCTTGTCAAACGCCTCTTAAACCCTGAATCGAGTCAAGGGCAACGTTTCCAATCTGAGTGAGCGACAAAACTTCAAAAAAAGACGCCTTAAAAGAACTGCGAACCTCACCTTGGCCCCCTCCGCTGGCAGCGTCTCGTCGTGGAATGCCTCCGCAGTCACCGGGTCGAGCGAGAGCGCAAACTGGTCCCGCCAGCGGAACTCGAAGCGCGCCTTGCTGAGCGCGTCGTCCCACTCCTGGGCGTGCGGGTGTTGCTTGGCGAGGTCGGCAGCATGCGCGGCGATCTTATACGAGATGACGCCGGTCTTGACGTCATCCCGGTTGGGCAGGCCCAGGTGCTCCTTGGGGGTGACGTAGCAGAGCAGGGCGGTCCTGCAACGAGCAGATCCAAGTTTAGAATTGAGAATAAGGGAGCATACGAACACATCTCAATTTTGCTGGCTCAAAGATCAGCGATGCGGCTTGGAACGGATTTGCATCGTCAGAAGTGCACTAGTTTCGGTTTGATAGGATTTGAGGCAATGAACACATCCGGAAGTAGTACTGCAAAGAGAGGAAGGTGAATCTTCCTCACATTTGTGGGGACATTGAATTCGAAGATGATAGCGAGACATCATTATGTGGCTCAAAGCGACTGGTGATTGCTCGTCGGCTTCACAGAGAACTGCATTGATCCCCCTGAAGCAGCCCGTCAATTAGATTGCCTCGATGGCCTCTGCGCAGCAACAAGTCAACCCTCTTTAGAAACGTTTACTCACCCAAGGGCCCCAATGTTAGCAGCTCCGATCGCGCTCGTAATGTGGTCGTATCCGGGTGCAACGTCAGTGGTGAGAGGGCCCAGGGTGTAGAACGGTGCCTCGCTGCACCAGTCTAGTTGCTTCTCCATGTTCTCGGGGATCTTGTGGAGGGGAACGTGGCCGGGGCCCTCGTTCATCACCTGCGAAAAAGAAACGACCATCGGGTTTGTCCTCCAACATTGTCTTGGAATCAAAAGTGCTTTGGACCCCTCAGTCGTAGAACTCAAGAAGAGCACCACACGAGTTCCCAATTCCGTCGACTATGGGAATTCTTTTAACCTCAAACCCAGAGGCAGGAAAAGCAGAAACGACAATTGGATTTGCCCTCAGTCTTTTGCATCGAACCCAGTGGCCGGGAAAGCATATCCTGCGTCAGGACTTGATATGCGCGTTATAAGCACTCGAAGATTGATTGAAGCAGACTCTTCAAAACTAGAAAACCCGCATCAGACGTGAGGTGACGTCTCCAAATTTGCACCTCAGATCCGTACCTGGACGTCCTTCTCCCAGGCGCGCCGCGTGAGCTCCCCCTGCACCGCGAGCTCCGAGAACTGAGCCAGGTCGTTCGCATCGTAGATCGACCCGGGGCGCAGCCCATCGCCTATGGACAGGCTGATATCGTATTGGGAGCAGATGTCCAGGATATCATCCCAGTGCTCGTATGCAAAGTTCTCCTTATGGTGAGAGAGGCACCACTTGGCGTGAATAGATCCCCCCCGCGAGACGATGCCCGTCATGCGCTTGGCAGTGAGCGGGATGAAGCGCAGGAGCACGCCCGCGTGGATCGTGAAGTAGTCGACGCCCTGCTCTGCCTGCATATGGTAGAGGGCAGAAAAGTCAATAACCGACTTCCAAATTGGCTTCCAATCTGTCAAACTGAATATTTATCCATCTCGACACTGTCATTGAGGGTTCGAGCAAAACCAGTGTCATGGACAGTAAGTTGAAAGCTCAGGACGCGCGGGTCTGGACTGTAAAATGCTGTAGTCAGCACTGATTGTTCAAGTGGCGGGCCGTGTGGAACAGAACATTCGTATAGAGAAAGTGCCGCTCCTTCCTGCACAGCGGCTCTCACTATATAATAAGCTCTGGCCCGTCTAATCAGTTTCTTGAAAGGTTTCTTGAAAGGACCACTTAGAAAAGGTCTTCAAAAATGTCAATCAAGAGATGCTCAACAGAAAATGCACAGACAAACATACCAAAGCACGACAAGCGCCCTTACCTGCTCAATCAGCGTCTCGCGGAACACCTCCCACGTCAGGTTCTCTGCAATTCCATCGACTTTCTCAAGCGCCTGGTAGATTGGCACAGTGCCAACTGGGACAGCGCTGTTGCGCATGATCCATTCGCGAGTGGCGTGGATGTGATCCCCAGTGGAGAGATCCATGATGGTGTCCGCTCCCCAAAGTGTCGCCCACTGCAGCTTCTGGACCTCCTCTTCGATACTGGAAGTCACGGCACTGTTTCCGATGTTGGCGTTGATCTGTATGCACGAAAAGAAGGGGTCAGACTTATGCAAAGAGTTGGAGACTTGCAAGTGGTCAATCAAGGTGTGCAAGGATAAGGGGCCCCTTAGGCTTCTTGCCCTCTGTCTTAATCCAGGAGAGCCAATCAGTGGAGAGGGGGTCAGCTAAATTCTTGTCACTGTCTCAAAAGACCCTTGTTCGATCTTCTCGAAAATGACAAAGTCTGCGTTCGTACAATCCAGAGCACTATTCTACTCATGTTTTGGATTACTCCATTGACAAAAAAAGGGGTCACTTATCACTCATGTTCAGATCGGGACAGAGAGAACAGTCCTTCCCTTCTAGAGAGGGACCAGAGCATGCTGTAAAGTTCGGCCCTTCAAAACCCCCATCTTGAGGAACACTCCACACAGGATCACATGCCCACCTTGGTTGTAAGCACTTCCATTCAAACAAGCACACCCCTCCTTCACTGAAAATTGAACATTACTCCTGGCAGATACTTCTGACTTTTTCTCACCTTGACCAGGAACTTGCGCCCGATGATCATCGGCTCCAGCTCGGTGTGCTTCTTGTTGGCAGGGATAATTGCGCGCCCTCGAGCTACCTCCGACCGCACAAACTCAGGATCCATCTTTTCCCTGGCCGCGCAGTATTGCATCTCCTCGGTGATAATCCCCTGCTTGGCGTAGTACTGCTGCGTGAATCGGGTGTCGCCGCGAGCCTCACGTCGTGCCACCCAGTCCTTGCGGAGTTCAGGGATGCCTGCCAAAGGGAGAGGGATTTAGGGTTGAGCTAAGAAACTGGAATTTGTACAACAGCTTCTTTGCTGGAGCATATCAACAGCGTCAAGATGATCGGGCACCACAACTATGTCCTTGATAAGAAGGCAATTTTGCTCAAGAGTTTAGTGCACTCGGTCTTGGACGAGCCTAAGTTAGTGATAACCCACCACCAGGAAAGAACACCAGGTTCCAATAGAAAAGCATGATTAGGTTTGCTGCAGAGTCACCCATTGACTCAGGGATAGGACGTCAGTGCTCAAAAGTGGTTCAGATCACCGAATCGGATGTCATGTTTCTTCACCACAAATTTGACCTTAAACCAAACCAATTAGCCCAATAGACAACCCTTTGGAACGACTTTCCAGATGGTTGATCCAATCGGTTTAAAAAGACTGCACTAGGAGCCTTTATTGACAAATGGAAACAACTCTGGAAAGCCTTGTTGAAGGGAAGGGCATGTAGAGCAGCACTGAAAACAACATGTCTTATTCCTCACCATTCCTTGGGTCGAGCTTTTGGGGGCCACTGGTGTCATACTGATCAAAAAAGGGCTCGTCTCCAGCCAGGCGGATCCTCCGGAAAGGAACGTGCAGGACAGTGCCTGTAGGTTCATGGATAACCTCCCTGGAAGAGAGATAATGCAGAATGAGCACGCTATACTTACATATAAGAGGATGTTGTTACAAGACTGCTCTCGCGCACGCACTTTTGGCATTGAAAGACCGTTGTATCTGAAAGATGTACCTTTCGACAAAGAGAAGAGAAAAACATAGTGGCATGTCTATTGCAGACGAAGAATGCAGGAGTGCTTTGCAGGAAGAATGAGGTTTGCATACTGCCTGATCATCAAATGACATAAATACCTTGATGCAGACATAATCCATAGGGTTTTTAATCAATGCCACTGGTGAAAAAGCATGCAATTGCCGAGGAGGTATGCAATGCAGTGGTAAGGGCGGCCCCAATTGCGACTGTGCTTATGCCGTTTACGTAAACCAAAGCCTTCCTGCAAACACAGCGATTACATACCTTCTGAGTGCTCTACCAAAGAAGACTAAGTAAATATGATGCAAAAACAATTAGTCAAGCGATCTATGAAGTTGACCAAAGCTAGAATATGAACATCAAAACTGCCCCTCACTGGTGCTCCTTGGTGCTGTTAGGAAAGCAATCCTCAAAAGCGGGAATGGGAAGGAACTCTGGCGCCTCGGGGTTCTTAGTTGACGGAGTGCGCCCCTCCCCTTTCCCAATCACCTTCTTGGCAAACTCCGGGAAAGGATCTGTCTGCGCTGAGAGCCTCTCTGGTGCTGCGATCGCCTTCACAGGAAGTGCTCCCTGCCTGAAAACCTTGCCTTTAGGCTTGGAGTGGTTGCTGAGGGGAGTATCCACAAAGCTGGAACCCAATTTGAGGGGCAATGCTGCGCTGCAAGCCTGCCTTTGGGAAGCTGTAGGGTTTTTGCAGCTCAGGTGAATCGAGGAAACCGGCGATGGGCTGGTGCAACAGAAAGACATGGTTCCTCAATGCGTCGTTGGAGAGAAAACTAAGGGGTGGCCAAACTGGCAGAGAGAGAACAGTCCTGAACTCAGCACTGCTACCTAGCAAGTTGCATGAAGCAGCTGGAAGCAAGCAAGCAAAACCTTGTTGCAAGCGATTTCAGACTTCCCAGAGCACACACACCTTTCACATTCACAAGGCAGAATTGCAGAAATCCAGCATTGGGCATTGAAAAGGAGTTGCTGCAAACCACACCCACACAGAAACGATTGAGCACAGAGCATTGGGTAGGTACCGGTACGTACCAAAAGTTGCTCAAATCCCACTGGTCCAATTGGTACCGGGGTGAATCTTCTAGGCAACTTACACCGGCAGCTCCCGAGGATCTCGATCATTCCCGGTAACTACATCAATACCAGGCTTCTCAACAACCGAAATTCATCCGGTAGACTCTACTGACAAGGCCCACGTCAGAAGATTGCCCAATGGTACTGGTCGGGGCATCGGTGAATCTGGTGACGATGACGTTTTCGAAGATATCTGCTTAGATATTTCAAAAGCCCAACCGTCGATGCTTCATCTAGAGCCTATCGCACGGCTCTCAGCCATGGTACCCAGACTTATCTTTCCGCTTTTGGTCGAAATTGTGAGCACGTGGTCGCCTGGAGATTCAGCGGTACGTACCGATAAGCGCTGCTTTGCTCCGCTTTCTTGCTGAGCTGCATTGCATTCGATCGATTGCTTGTTCTGCGCTCTGCTCAAAAGCGCAAACTCTTCTACTCAGAGAGCTCATTCCCAGCAATCCTCGCAACCTTCTCACCTGCAATCCGCACTTCTAAGCTCCATCTCTTCTTCTCCAATCACACCATGGCTTCCACTGCCTGCCTCCGTGCCTCTGGCTCCATTGCCAGCTTCTCTGCCACCAAGGCGGCTTCAACCCCCTCTTCCCGCACCAGCTCTTTCTGCGGCGTCCGCATCGCTCCTGCTGCCCCCAAGTCCACTGTTCGCGCTTCTACCCGCGGCTCCGCCCGCGCCTACGGCGAGCCCAAGTATGACATCAACAAGTTCAAGTTCGAGCCGATCAGGGAGTCCACTGTTGCCCGGGAGATGACCCGCCGCTACATGACTGACATGATCACCCACGCCGAGACTGACGTCATTGTGGTGGGGGCTGGCTCTGCTGGTCTGTCTGCTGCTTATGAGATTAGCAAGAACCCCAATGTGAAGGTGGCCATCATCGAGCAGTCCGTGTCCCCTGGTGGGGGTGCCTGGCTCGGGGGCCAGCTCTTCAGGTTGGTGCTTTGAGCAGCACAGTCCGAGCATTTGGAGCAACTACATCACAGAGCACTGACTGCACTCTGGCAGTGTGTGCTGTGATTTGATTGGTTCTTGGCACATTTGCAACTGCATCCTCATGTTGCAACCGCCTGCATTGACTTGATGCTCTCAGGAAGCACACTTGCTGGCCTCCTGTCAGATAGTTTGTTGGAAATCGTAGGAGTAATTACCACTCTTCACCCTTGCAGTGCCATGATCGTCAGGAAGCCCGCTCAGGCCTTCCTTGATGATATTGGTGTCCCTTATGAAGAGATGGACACCTACGTGGTCATCAAGCACGCCGCCCTTTTCACCTCCACCATCATGTCCAAGCTCCTTGCTCGCCCCAATGTCAAGCTTTTCAACGCGGTCGCTGCTGAGGACCTGATCATCAGGTTGGATGACCAACATTGCCTTTCGCAACTCGTTTTTCTTCAAGACCTGACAGTGGTTTGATGGACCTGATTTTGTATTCTGCATTGACCCGGGGAAGCATCGCAGAATTTTGTCGACCCAATTCAATGATCATACTGCAATGCTTTTCAATAGCTCCCTTGATTGATGTAGTGTCTGCTGCTGCCTGACAGACTGGCATCAGTCAAATTTTCGGGTGTATTCAGTTGCTCACCCGCGGTTTGTAACTCTCCATGCCTGGGTGGTCCATTCTGAATTTTCTTGGCATGAAGACTAAAGGTTTTAACTTCTGCATTCTTAGTTCTTATCATCTTGTCTTTTTTGTCCTAGGGATGGTGCCGTCGGTGGAGTCGTGACCAACTGGTCCCTGGTGTCCCAGAACCACGACACCCAGTCCTGCATGGACCCCAACGCCATGGAGTCCAAGGTCGTCGTCTCTTCCTGCGGTCACGATGGCCCCATGGGAGCCACTGGTGTGAAGAGGCTCAAGTCCGTGGGCCTGGTCGACAACGTACCTGGGATGAAGGCCCTGGACATGAACAAGGCTGAGGATGCTGTGGTTGCTCTGACCAGGATGGTCGTGCCTGGCATGATCGTGACTGGCATGGAGGTGGCTGAGATTGAGGGCGCCCCCAGGATGGTGAGAGGAGGGGTTACATGTGTTGGGAGATTATCTGCCACTGAAAGTTAGCTGTGGTCTGTAGATGAATGTTCTTTGGTAACGGTCCGGGGTGCACATCGGTCAATGCTGCAAATTGCTTGCAGGGAGTTCTCGTCAGCAAACTGCTCATTAGAGCATTGCCCGTCACTATATCGGAAGGCAGATAGCTACGCCCTTTTCTCCTCTTGCATTATCCTCCGATGCAAGCAATCAGGCAGCACTTCTGTCTTTGCCTGAAGTTTGTTTTGTCCCTCAATTTTGCTCTGCAAGCAGAAGCCTATTCAACATAACCTTTTCTCTCTGCTACAGGGCCCCACTTTCGGTGCTATGATGATCTCTGGCCAGAAGGCTGGTCACCTCGCCCTCCAGGCCCTTGGCCTCCCCAACGCCATTGACGGAACAATGGTCAGCGAATCTGGTGTTGTCCCCGAGCTCATCCTGGCCGATGCTGACGACACTACCGCGTCTGCCTAAGTTCCCTTCTAGTTAGAAATGTTATGCATCTTGTACAGGCAGGAGATCTTGCTTCTTGAAGTTGGGTCTGATGCACTGCAGATAGTGTCAGTGTGCACGGTCTTGTGTCAACGTGCCACAATCCTGATGCAACTAGGGGTGCTGAAGACAGTGGCTGTCCTTGTGACACCACTGTTCTGATGCTGAGATCATACCCTAACTACCTGACCACGGTAAAGCGTGCGGAGGGAAGTTGCCAGGATCTGTCCTGTCGTCGATAAGAGGTTGTAGCGGTCTGTAGATCGTGTACAGCAGAGATAGCGAAGGCCTCTTAGCCAGGGCAGATTGTCTGTCAATATTCATCGCAACGCGTGTTCGTCACAGGTAGAGCTTGCTAGTTGATCATGGATTCGACCAATTGATATAAATTTACTCGACGAGAGGTATTTTTAATTCATAACCGCTCTTTTCATCACCTCCGCTTTTCAGTAAGTGCAGTATATGTTCCCGATTTTGACATCTATTTGTTAGCATTTGCAATTGTATGCATCCAAAAGTATCGAACTCTCGAAAGTCGGAACTATAATTTCAAGAATTCCGATTGGAAATGAGAATATATCAATGTCAGTATATGTGAACGGTTGATGTAACTAATAACTCAAAAAAACATATAGGCCTCCGACCAACCGCAGTTTTTACACTCCAATGTATACTTGTCGTAGACTAACCTTCACAGTGACCATCCATGCATGATATATGCATGATATTATACTGATATAAAGAATTCTTCAACAATAATCTGCTGATCGGGGTGAATAATGGGGCTGTATCATTGTTGTTGTTTTAACACGAGCAGAAAACGGTTATTTATCTGTCCATGGCAAATTACGCTCTGAAAATTTTCTGAATTTATCTGCGACACCTTCCCTTGCGACACATGTTGTGAGGACTCGTCAGGATTGCAGATCGATTCCCCCATCTGCCAGTGATTGTGAATGGAGCATTTCACTGTTTACACATGCATTGCACCAAAATCAGTTTTCATGTTGGATTGTTCTGTGCTTTCAGGTACACTCTATAAGCAAGGCTTCGAAAGTAACGTCAACCACCATCCGCACAAATGTTTGTACCTGAAGAAATATCTTTGCGCCAGTCATCAAACAAACGCTGGGATGCATTGAATGGCCGACTGGGGACAATGCCAAGTACAGAACATTTCTACTCACTCCTTTTCACGCGATTCAAAGTTCTTGCATGATCTACAAAATTTCACACAGAAGTTGCTCATCATATATTTGCAATTTCCAAAGGTTATCAAACTTTGGCACTCCTCTATAGGTGACCTAGGCTAGTTTCGACTTTAATGGAGACAACTCCTTGGAACTGAGTGTCTGCTCCACCCAATGCATCTTCTTATTACTAGTGAATCGGAGTTTTCATGCAAGATCATTGTACGTGGCTTGCATGAAGCTTGTGTGCTGCATGAACGGGGACAGCTCCACGAGGTGCCCCTAAAAAGATAACGGACTTATTCAAGAATCAAGTAATCCGCATACATGCATGCCACAAAAGACTGGATAACACGACTTCGAAGCATCTCGCTCTAGTCCATCCCTCGCGTCGAACCGGCCACCTCATATCTAGGCTCTCAACGCGTGACTAGCAAAAAAGTAGGTTCTTCACGCGCGCGTGCCTCTGCTACCTCGCCTGAGGGCCTGTTGTCGCAGGTGCGCAGACACAGGCCACCTGCTATTATCCGCAACTTTCCGCCCCGTTCCGACTCCCGGGTCAGACGCACGGCTGATCTTGGTGAAGGGATTGAAAGCAAAGTCCCACCCTGAAGGCCCGGTCTCTTCTACCAGGTAGCTCGCCTCTTCCCGGAGGGGCTCTGCCCGGTGCTGCCGCTCTTGAACGGAGTTCCGCCGGACTTCGGGGTCCAACTTTGACCTTCCTTTGCCCACAGCGGGCCTCAGCTTTCCGCCGGTTGTCACCGGAACTCCGGCGGAACTTGCAGTGGCCTTCACCTGCGACAACGGCTCTAAAGTGCTTGCAAGAGCGGCGGGCGGTCCCGCTTGTGACGTCAGCGCGCCGGTAGGCGCCCTCTTCTGAAGCATAAGCGAAACGTACGACGCCGTTGAAATTTGCGGCGACCCCTCCCGGCCGCTCAAGCCGTCACTGGTCGCCCTCGTCCGTCTGGCGGCCGAGTCCTTCCCGGCCGCCGCGGCCGGCCGCGCGTCTCTCGAAGCCCTGCGCTGAGCTGCGCTCGTGTCACCCCGCTCGGGTGCGCGCTCGTCCACCTTTGTGCGCGCGCGGCCGCTCAACCGACCGAGCGGCGGCCGGTCGCTTGTAACCTTCCGAGCGCGCTCCTTTGCGAAGGCTCCTTTCTCCGATGCCCTCGCTTCCGGTTCCGTTCCGTCGTATGAGATCAGGTTGGAGAACGGATCCGGCGGCTCGGGGGTGCTTCGACGTGACGTCTTGGATCCGGAAGACAGATGGGGGCTGTTTTCGAGGGACGTCTTGGAACCGGAAGATAGGCGGGGGCTGCTCTCGAGGGAGGTTTTCGTTCCGGGGGACTGGGCGGGAGCGGAAAGGGAAGTCCGTCGGTTGGCGTTCTGGGAGGAGAGCGGAGCTGCCGGTGGGCGGTTCCTGTGGAATTAGCGGTTACATATTCTTGGTGAGGGCAGAAACCACAGAATCTGAGAAGAAGTATCGAAGTCGAGGAAATCTGACAGATGATTACGTTCACTTTAACAAAATTTATTCTCTGAATCTTTGTGCAATCCCCGTGATTGATAGGAAAATGACAGTGCCATCAGGAGATGGGAATGAATCTCTGAGTGCCACTCAGAGACGCCAATCTGAAACAGAACTTTGGCTTCTGCAAATTCCATCTTGTTTGCATCGCAGAAACTGTGCACAGGTTCGGGCAACGCTGACTCTGACTAACAGCCTAGGAGTCGGAAGTACTTCCCGTTGTTAAAGGTGGTATAGCAACTAAGTCCTATGAGAATTGTAGGCCAACGTCTGGGAACTCGTACAGACAACTTAACGGTGGTCAAAAAAGGACATGTTTAGATCGAATGCGAATCGCGGTATTACAAGTCTAGCCTCTGAGGCAGACGATCAGCGACAGACACTCTCCAACCTCACTAAACAGGAGGGTATGCAGTCGTCTCGAACGCCCGATCTTCAAAGCATCAGACTAGGTCATGGTGCTCTGCAAAACTTCGCAGGCCGAGTATAGTCAACTCCGAAGCTAGGCAGAAACGATTCAAGGAAGCGCTTGGCATCGAAAACTTTGATGAGGAGGACCGAAATGAACCTTCAAGTCAAAACACTCACGTTTTCTTGCTCGCTGCGGACCCCGCTCGATTCGTCATCCTGACGTCATCCGAAGCCCTGGAAGCCTTTGTGACAGGTAGGGAGACCCTCCTCTCATCCGCCGCCCTTCCTTCACCGTTTCCGGACGCTCGCTTCCGCTCCGGTGCGGCAGCCTTTTGGAATATCCGTGACTCGCTAGCCGGCCCTTCTCCCTCCCGACAGCGGCTGGAACTCTTCCGGGTTTGCCGCGGCCGACGCTCTGCCTCCGGCTCCTTCCGGAGGATCCGCCAACCGCTCCAGTGGTCTTGGTCCGAATCAGACTGCGAGTCCCTAAACTTCGTGTCCGTTTCGGACGACGGCCTTTGTCCGCGCAACGTCGAAACGGACGGAAGTTTCTTTTGCGGCGAGCCAGCACTCTTCGCTGTGATGTCGAACAGTCGCCCCGGCACCGGGTCAGAGTGTCCGCTTCCGTCTGAAAGCGCCGCCGGAACGGACTGCATTCCCGTCCGCTTTCCGTCGGAAATCCGACTAAGCTTGCGCTTCGAAGCCTGACTTCCCCCTTCCTTCTTAGGCTCTTTTCTTTCCCTGCCAGGTTCACTCATCCGTAGCGTGCCCGTTGGACCGTCAGAAACACCTATGCCCGTAGTGGCTGTCGAGGAGAGAAGCGGGGCGTCCGTTGGAACGCTCTTCCGGAATCCGGGCGGCAACTCGACGGGAGCTGGACTCTCGGTCTTTGCAGGGGTTTTCTCCAGCCCCAGAGCATTCAGCTGATCGTGTCTTGAATTCTCTTGGTTTCGTCCCGACATTCTTCGCTCAGCAATCTCCACCGCTCTGAAGAGCGCTTCTGTTTCGGGACCCTCCTGGCGCAAGCTTGTTACCTCCGGGTCAAGCGCGGCAAGTCCAGCCCTTACTGTCAAACTTTCGGTTCCGCTCCTCCGGTTCTGTTCCGTCCGCAGTCCCGCGCCGACACCTTTGCGTTCCCCCTCTGGTTTGTATGCCGGACCACCAGTCCACTCCTCAAACTCTGTTCTCTCAGCGCTCCCCGTCCCTAGTTCTTTCTCATTCTGTTCTACTAAACGCCCACTCTTCCGGTCTGCTCTCCGCTGCCTCTCCGCTGGCAACTCTGCTGCTCCGCTGTCCGCTACTTTCCGTTCCTCCGAAGCAGCACTCGCACCGCTCTGTTCCGCCGTTCCGCTCACATCCTCGGCCGTGATCGCATTCCGCGAGCCGCTGCCCTTCTCCGCCAAACCTGAAGTCTCGGGCGCGCCGCGCTGCCGCACCGCGTGGCGGGCAATGTTTCCGTCTTCCGTTTCCTTCCGTTCCTCAAGTTCCGTGGTGTCGCCCTCCGCCCCAATCCGGTCAGCAATAACGTCAGCAGTCTTTTCCGTGACGTCAGCTGCAATACCTTTACAGTCCACGTAGTCCTGTTCGCAATCTGCAAACCTTGTCGCACCCCCTGACAATGGCTCCGTGGTTCCGTTTTCCGTTTCCGCTGTGCCTTGTTCCGCGCCCTGCCACTCCCTTTTCAATACTTCCTCTAGGCCCCCGAACGCGCTCTGCGTAAGACTGACGTCATCCCCGTTTACGTTTTCAACCCCTTTACCGTCCCGCCTCAAAATTCCTCCGTCGAAGCTTCGTCTCCTTTCCATACGGCCTCTCTCCACGAACCGAACCCTTCCCTCGTCCAAACCCTCCCCCAAACCCTGTTTCTCCCCGCGCCCGCGCGAGGCGGTGTAGCTCACGCTTCGCTGGCCTTTCCGGGACCCCGGAAGGCTTCCCCACCCGCCAAGGACTTCTAGAGGTTCCTCGTCCTCAAGGAGCCTCGTAAGCTTTGCGACGCTAGCGCGCAACTCGGCGCCGCGCGCGCTGAGCGAGGCGCGCCGCGTCTCCTGCGCGGCCGCGAGCAGGCGCTGGTCGTAGGAGGAATCGTCGCCGTCGTCGAACGTCACGAACTTGAAGCTGACGCGCTTGGGTCGGCCGGCCTCCGATCCTTCTGTGAGTAAAAGAACCATGAATTGTGAGTTGAAACGACAGGTTTGATTTGACCAAAGTCTCTCAATTAGGCCCGGCATCGCTCTTTGGTGTCGTAGAAAGACATCAAGGTCGTCCCGTTGGCCGCTCTGCGAAGTTTTTGGATTCGTTTGTGTGGGTTGAAAGTCCGAAAAGGCTCTGATTCTCGGATACCCTGTCCTTTTAGTCATCTCCAAATCTAGTGATGCGAAGTTTGTAATGGGCAGATTATATGTTTTTCGCTAGGTCTCGACACTTGGAATTTTGGTGAAGGCGCGTCTGGAAGGTCTCGCTTGTGCTTCAGATAGGCAAGAAAACGGTAACGCCTCATAAAATTTGAAACTTAAACCTTTCAGTTACCAATTCAGTTTGCCGATCAAGCAATATCTGATGTGGTCGACAACAGCTCTTGTAACTGTGTTGCAGTAGAAAGTTCTGTAGATGCTGTTTCTTTTCACCGAAGCGCTGTTTTTGGAAATGCCTGGACGCATTCAAGGAATCAACGTTTGGGATTGTGAGGGCGAGAATCGGACAGTCGGTTCTACTGGACTGTCACGAAGAATTAGATTCTTCCTTGAATCCTTTCAAAGGAGATGTGATCGGGGTTGACGCAGTTTCGTATTTGCTTGCGGCACTCTGTTTTCCATCTGCTGGAACAAACCAACTGAGCAGACTCATCCCACGATAACGCTCAAGGACATATTGCACAGTTGAACTTGTGCGCCCCAATCTACGAATCTTCCTAGGGTTGAAGGAAGCAAACACCAAGAGAAGGCTTTGGCATTGCTCCGACCGGGAAAACACACAAAAAGCAAGGCCCTCTCACAGACCATGTTCCAAATGTCGCGTCGATCCGTCTACCATATCCAAGGCATAGCCCCTGCTGTACAAACAGTGCTTACCGTCCGACTCGGACCCGCTCTCGCCGCTGACGTCATCCTCCTCGGCGACCAGCCCCTGCAGCAGCACCTCGACGCTGTCGCTCGCCCGTGAGTCCGTCGACTCCCGGCCTCTTCTCCGTTGATCCGTTTCCGCTGTCCAACTTTCCGCCCTGGTGCCGCCCAACTCTTCACCGCCCCGCTCGACGATCTGCTCCGGTTCCGTCATGAGAGGCTCTGCCCTGACCGGAAACGGAACGGAGGCGCTGAGAATAATCTCACTGGTTCCTCCTTGGGCGAAAAGGAGCAGTATGGGATCCGGGCGTTCTTCAGGGGATTCTGTTGAGCGCGCTTTCCTGTCAAGAATTTCCGCTGTCTTTGAGGAACGGAATCCGGTCTCCGTCTCGGCGTTCGTCGCGAGCGCGTCTGCCAGCGTCCATTTGCGGTCTCCCTGACCCCGTTCAGTTTCACTCCGCCCCTCTAGGGCATTCTCAGTTCCGCTCCCTTCCGGCGGAAGTCCCTCGTCATTCCAAGTTCCTGCGACTTCCGTCGCCGTAAACCTTTCTGTCCGTTCCTTTTCTGTCCCAGCGTTCCGGTTGGCATCCCGCCTGCCGGTGTCCAATCTGATTTTCGCTCCCCCGGTGCTTTCCACCGGAATGTATTCTCCTAGAGCACGCTTCTCCGGCAAGACCTCTCTTCCTGAATCAGCTTCGGAACGCGAGTCAGTCATTCCCCTTTCGTCTTCACCTTCTATCGTCGAACTCTGTCCCGTTGAAGCCCCTTCCGCCCAATTCCTCCACAGCTTCCTGACCCATTCCGCCGGAACCTCGTCGACCGTGCTCGGGGCCTCCCGTTTCGGGACAGTCTCTCCCTCCAACCTTGCCAAGGTCTTCACACCGTCCGCTGGCATTCCGTCCACGGATGTAAGCTGCAGCCTACGGTCCCCACCGATCGCTTGTTCCGCCGGAACCGTTTCCGCTGTGGAACCCTCCAGCCGGAAGTCTTCTTTCTCAACCTCCTGAGATCTGCTCTCCTCCTCGAACGATTCACCAAAACCGCTCTCTTCCGTCTCGAACCAGGCCGCCCGAATGCTTTCCCGTTCCGCCCCTTCCGTCCAAGACAGCCTCCAGGAATCTTCCCTCGCCTTTTGCGCCGTAGTCTCCTCTCTTGCTTCTCCATCGACAAATAGATTTGCAACGCTGTTTTCATCTCGAGCCTCTGAAGAGACCACAATCTCCCTCCCTTCTTTCTCCAGAAGTTGGACTTCCGCCCAAGCCAATTCCGGGCTTGCTATTTCCGTCCACTCGTCTTCCGCTCCAGTAACAACCTCCGCTTCCGGCCCCGCCACGTCACCTTCCCACTTCCTGTCCAGCCCTGCCACGTCAGCCTCCGTTGCGTCATCCTCCCGTACGTGAGCCGGCTGTGCCACGTCAGCCTCCTGAATGCCAAGCGGCTCTTTCACGCCCCTCTCCTGAGTTTGAATCCGTCCTGACTGCTCCGTTGAGGAGACGGCCGGGGGCTCCGGCGACGGAACAGCAGATTCCGGTCGGTGAGAGCTGGCCCCAGCACGCGCGCTTTCCGTTCCGCTTTCCGTCCCCTCGTCTCCAACTAGACCGAGTTGCGGTTCCGCCGGACTTCCCTCCAAGGGTGCACAATGGAGCTCGGTCATTAGCGAGAATCCGCCAGACTTTTCCGCCGCGCCTTGCACCGCTCGATTGTCGGCAACTCCCTTCCGTTCCGGTGTGTACGCGGCAGAATTAGCTAGCTCACCCGCGTACATCTCCTGGAGCCCCGGAGTGCTGGCCGCGGCGAAGCCACTGCCAGAGCCCGGCTCTACGTCGCCCTCAAAACCAGAATCTACACTATTGACAGAGGCTGATTCTAAACCGGGGGCTGAAGCGGAGTTGAACCCGCTGGCGAAAACCAATTCTCCCTCTCCTTTAGAAGCCGTCTCTGAACCACTGGCCGTGACCGATCCTCCACCGCTGACCGTAACGTCGGCCTCTGAGACCCCCGCTGTGACCGATCTAAAACCATCGGCTGTGACTGTCTTTGGTTTGCCTTCCGTGACGCCTTCCACACAACCGCCAGAACCCAATTCCAATCCACCTTCAGAACCCGGTTGCAAAGCACCGACTTCCAAACCCCTGCCAGAGACCGATTCTAAAGCACCAGCATTCCCAATCTCCAAACCAGCGCCACAGACCGATTCTGAAGCAGCAACGACAGCCCCCTCTCCGCCGCTTTCTTCGCCCCCGACGATGAAGTCCCAGTTCAAAAACGAGTCCACGCTGACGTCAGCAATCTCCTGTTTCCGGGCCAGGGAGAGGGTGGTGCCGAGGACGGCGCGCCCGTTGACGAGAGAGGTGGCAGCGAAGCCGTTCCGCTTTCGCGGGGACTTGACCTGGGGAACGATACCGGGAAGAGATCGGTTATGGTTTGATAGGCGACGTGTTTTGGCTCGTGGGTTATCGGGTTGTCGTGCTGTGAACTCTCAAGCGGGATGTTTGGAGACGTGTGCAAAGAAATAGATAGTCAATGTCTGCTTTTCGAACCTTTCTACACGGAATGCTTAAGCCTGGACACCGAAAGGGGCATAAAAGATGACTCTCTTCAAAGTGGTAAGAGATGACTTCAGCTAGTTTGCATCGTCCAAGCAAACCAAATCCCTTACGCCGTTGCAGAAAAGACTTTGCCCATTGTTATCTTCCAATAAAGCGCTGCTCTCAGAGACTCCAGCCAGTATTCTACAGCCTGACTTTCAGTCAATCTCCCATTCCTCCTATAAACATATTCCAAACCAAAACTAGTCTTCACGAAAGCTGTGACTGCGTGTCCTTCTTTTGAACCCTCATGACATGCAGTTTTGAATGGTCTACACGCCTCCATAGGACAAACATCTTATCATGTCATAACCTCAAGACTTTCTCTGCACCGCGGTCAGGAGTCTCACCTTCGCGCGCTCCGGGCTGCTAGCCACACGCGTCTTGACCTGCTTCAGAGCTGCTCGTAATTCCGGCAGCTCCCCTGCGAAGGCCGGAGCTTCCGCTTCCGCGGCGGAACGTCGTTCTGCCGTCCGCGCAGGCACAGCCGTTTTCTCTGCGCGCGCTCCCAACTTCAGCTTCGGCAACAAGGACATTCCGTCGGATACCGGCCCGCTTCTGCTGGACACGTTCCCTTTTCGAGTGACTTCTTCGTGGCTGTTTCCGTCCAAACTGGTTCCGCCCAAACCAGTTCCGGTCGCGTTGGCTATGGTTGAGCTCGTTTCGTCCGATCTGACGTCCAAAGTGGTGCTGTCCAGGCTGGTTTGCCTCAGACTGGTTCCGTCCAGTTCGGTTCCGTCCAAGCCGGATCCGCCGAAAGCTGTTCCGTCCGGACTGTTTCCGTCCAGGCCGGTTCCGTCCACTTTTGGTTCGTCCAACCTCTTTCGGTCCAAATTGGTCCTGTCTAGGCTTGGTCCGTCCAGCTCGATTCCGTCCGGCTCCGTTCCGTCCCTGCCTCCACCGTCCCCACTGGTTCCGTCCACACTGCTTCCGCCCACACTGCTTCCGCCCGCACTGGTTTCGCCCACAATGACTCCGTCCACAATCGTTCCGTCTAAACTGCTACCGTTTGCACTGAGTCCGCCCAAGTCGTTCATCTCCAAACAGGGTTCGTCCAGCCTGGCTCCCTCACCAGATTCCTGGACGATGCTTCCATTTCCGCTGGCTTTTTCCACTTCAGGTTCCGCCGGAACCCGTTCCGTTCCCTCCAGTTCGCCGTCCGAGGCCTCAAACTCGAACACCTCCAGTTCGTCTCCTGGACCTGGCACCAGTCCCGCGGGTGGTTCCCAGATTCGCGGCGAAAGCGCAACCCAGACCTCCTTTATCAGTTCCGTTTCCGCCTGTTTCGCCCTTTGAAGTTCCGCTGCATTTACTGCGACCGGAACGCTCCGCTCCGCCGCTGTCGCGTTCTTCCCGGCCGCCTCCGTCCTTCGTAGTTCCGCTGCTTTTTCTACTGCGACCGGAACGCTCCGATCCGCCCCTTTCGCGCCGTTCCCGGCCTTCCCCAATTCAATCCCCAGTCGTGCCTCCCGTCCTTCCATTACCGCCCCTGGTAGCACTCCCCCGGTCACCTCCCTGTCTCTCTCCTCCGCAGCAGAGTGACCGGTCTCTTCCTCCCGACCACTGGCATTTTGGCCCTTTATGGAACCTACGTAAGCGTGCTCCGCTCTCGCCACGTGTCCCATCGGTTCATCGCCGCCGGCCAACTCGTTCTCGTCCGCGCTCTCTGTTCCAAGCGCGCGCAGGGTTCTCTCCGGATCCCCCGTTCTGCCGCGTGGCGTTGTCATCTCCACCCTTTCTAATTCTCCATCACTGTTTTGTAGCTCTGCCATCTCTTCACTCCCTGGATGAGCAATTTTCATTTGCCGCTTTCCGCTTTCCGGCGTACCTTCATCGGCCCCCAACAGCTCCCCCTCGCAAACCCATTCGGGACCGCTTCCGGTTTCTCCGGACAGCACAGAAGCACCCCCTTCTTCACCCATCTCTTGGCTTCTCGGCGTCCGTTCGTCTTCACCAAAAACGCCTCCTCTTCCAGCCCGAAGGACCAAGCTCACTTGAGAGACGAAATTTTCGGAAGGTTCCAAACTCGGAGTCACTTCTTCCCCCTCTAGTTCTCTGGTGGCTGGAGATCCTCCCGAGCATGGCTTCTCGCAAACCGAGGCCTTTTCCGCACTACCCAAGGAGTCGCTGATCCCCGCTCTAGTTTTCTCGGGCTGGTTCGTTACCGTCGGTGTCCGCTCCTCCTGGAAGTTTGCCTCTGAGTCGCCCGCAGCCACTTCCGAAGCGCTCGGGTGACTGAGCCGGGCACTCTCGCCCTGGTCGCGAGCAGAGCTCAAGCTAGAGAGGGATCCCTCAGCCGCCCGGTTACGTTGAGCGACCGGCTGGCCCGTAAGCTGTCTCGCCCGTGCTCGCTCGTCGTGCGTTTTCGCCCCCGTGTCGCCTCGATCTAGGTCCTCAGAGCCCGGGTCACTGACCCGGGCGCTTCTGCCCCGGTTAGCAGCAGAGCTCAAGCTCGAGAGGGATCCCTCTGATGCCCGGTTGTTCCGTCGAGCGACCGGGAAACGGCTCCCCGCCCGCCTTTGAACGCGGAAGCGCTCCAAGATTTCGCCGATCGCCCAGTTCTTTCCAGTCCAATCTCCCGAAGACAAGCGCTCGACGAACTCTTCCGAGACTGAACGAAGCAGCTCACTTTCGACGAAACTATCGGCGGTACGTTCGACGGATGCTGATTGGAACGGAATCGCTTCAACAAAGTCCTGGTCGGTGCTTTCCGCGGAGGAAGACCGAGGCAGCTCTATTCCGGCGGAATCTCGGGCGGTGCCGTTCAGCGAGGTTGACTCGAACGGACTCTCTTCACCAGAGTCCGGGCCGGTGCTTTCCGCCGAGGCCGACCCAAATGGTTTCTTCCCGGCAGAACTTTGGTCGATCATTCCCCCAGAAACTGGCCGAGAAGGCCCTTCCTCAAGACAAACCCGGTCGGTGGGTTCTACCGTAACTGACTCGGTTAGTCTCTTTCCGGTAGAATCTTGGTCGGTTGACTCTCCCCAGGCTTGGCTCGACAGCCCCGCTTCAGAAATCTGACCGGTGAAGTTCTCCGGGGGAGCCACAGTTGTGGCGGCTGTCAGAACGGGACTGGCTGGGTCCTCTGCGGGTAACGCGTCCGCTGACTGCAGAGTTGTTGCGTCCGGTGAGTTTAGAGTTTCTGCGTCCGCACAGGAGCTGACGTCCGCTGAGAAGAGAGCGCCCGCAGAGCGCAGGATGTCCGATGAGTGCCGAGTATCTGGGCCAGGGAAGGAGCGGACGTCCAACGAGCGACTGGTTTCCGATTCCGTTGAGAAACGGACGTCCGGCGAGCCAAGGGTTTCCGCGTCCCTTGAGGAACGGACGTCCGCTGGAGGGAAAGCGTCCGCAGAGCGCTGGCCCAGGTCCGATGAGCGCCGGGTCTCAGCGTCCGGTGAGGAACGGACGTCCAATGGGCCGAGCGTGTCCGCGTCCCTTGAGGAACGGACGTCCGATGAGCGGACGATTTCCGCGTCCCTTGAGGATCGGACTTCCACTGAGGGGGAATAGTCCGCAGAGCACAGGACTTCCGTCGGGCGCAGAGTTCCCGTTTCCGTTGCGGAAAGGGCGTTGGAGACTGCCGGTTCGGATGAGACGACGGGGAAGGACAGCTTTGAAGGCCTGTGAAGAAGAGAGGGGTGACATCAGAGGTTAACTTGTCGTGAAGCGCTGTCATTGAGAAGAAGGAAACATGGCATAAAAACGATAGCAAGTTGTTGGAAACATAATATTCTCGAAAAGCATACAACATTGTTTGGATAGGAAAACAAGCAAGTCACGTCAGAACAACGGGAGCCTAATGGTTCCAGCTATCGAAAAATGAGGGCTGAGTGCGCAAGGATGAACGGAAAGACCAAGTTGAGGGAAAAGTGAAGGGAGTCGAAAGCTTTTACATCGCCTGAATCACGCCGTCAGTTTGTTACCAATTGAGAACACTAGAAGGAACAACGTTAGCACAGCACTAGGAGTTTCTTAAGGTGTTTTTCACAATCAATCTTCGCTTGCAAAGCTTGAATCAAGCCGGTCAAAATAAACCTTCGTGTCAGGATGTTGAAACGGTGTAATCATAGCTGCAGCCCCGATCGTAAGCTCATGAAAATGCTTTGGCCTCGTAGAAAGTAGACGAAGCACATGTTACTCTGCGATGAGCAGAGCAGCTTCCGACCCGCCCTCAAAATCGTGTCGGCCTTACTTGGAAACCCTCTCAGGAGCGTCCGTGTCCCTGAAGAACCGCCTGCCAGGCGCCGTTTCACACCGCGGCGTCACCTCGGGGCTCAGCCCCTCCGAGCCGTCGGTGTGAATGCCCTCCTTGTCGGCGTACGGCCCGACTAAAATGCGGAGGCGGTTGGCGGCGACTTTCTCAGGCTGCCACGTGGCGTGATCTTCGGCGCACCCGTCCTCATCGTACGGCGCGCAGGGCAGGAGGAGGGCGGCGCAGGAGGGCCGCGGCTGTAGCCGCCGGGGGCGTGACAAATGATCCTGGATTAGTGATAAGGAATTTAGGGTTTTGGTTTTCTGAGTTTTCGTGGTTTAAGGTTTGAGGTTTTTGGAGTTCTGGAAATGGCGCAGGAGGGCCGCGGCTGGGCGGTACAAGTGATCCTGTGAATTAGAGTCATTGAGAAAGCTTAGTGATAAGAAATTTAGGGTTTCGGTTTTCTGAGTTTTCGTGGTTTGGGGTTTGGGGTTTGAGGGTTTCGAGTATTTAGAATGGTGCAAGAAGGCCGCGACTGGAGCCGCCGGATGCGGGACAAGTGACCCTGTGATATTGGTGGAAATAAGCCTGACTAGATATTCAAGCATTTGGGTTCCTGGTTTTGGAGCTTGAAGGTCCGAGAAAATTGAGCTGAAGCTGCCAAAGGCGAACAAGTGGTTCTGTAAGAGGGGGAGAGGAAATAGGTCGACAATTCGACGTTTTGGGTGGATACGGTCTCGAGGTTTTCAAACTGCGGGGTCTGGGGCTTTGATCGGTTCGAAACCTGCAAGTTTCATGTGGTGCAGACCGCTTTAGGATGGAAACGCCGCCGACAGAGAAAGAAGTAACCCTCCTCTAAAACTAGAAGGCAAAGATTAGAGAGGGCTCATGTCTCTTGCCAAGGTCTTGCGGCGCCATCTTGTATCCTTTCGTTGCTTCCTGAACAGCGATATGTGCGCGTTCTCACCATTTTATGCGCCCATGTATGTCTGCGAATGTGAGTGGCTGACTTCAGAAACGAACCGAAGAGACGAAGTTGACGGGGTCGTAATCGTCTTAGATTTTCTGTAGATTTTTTCCAATCTCGTATCCTGTTGCGGTATTCAAGACTGGATTACAACATGAGAAGCTGAGATGGTGAAGACTCAAACGTGATCATGTTCGTTAGCTTACAAAAAGTACTGAAAAACGGGTTTCAACTGGCTCCCTTGAGCCAGATCCGTGGAGGTGCTTTTTGACATAAAGGTGATCCGGCACTTCTCAAACTCCCGATCTCAACTCGTACAGAGACGTGTCCTCTGCTCACCGAGCTTCTTCTCTCCGCGTCCCGCCGCTTGCGTGGCGGCTCAACGCCGCTGGAAAACTCCTCCACGTCCGGTTCCGTTTCTGCGGATTCAGGAGCCGCCGGCGACGTGTCCTGCCAAGAAGCAACGTAAACCATTTTGCGCAAACCCCAGGGTTTTAGGGCGCAGACCTTATGCAATTTGGGGAACCATCTCTGAGATGCTCAGAGAAGATTTGCCATAGTACCTCGTGATATGGCGTGTACAAGAATCGGCTCCTGCCAGCCTCCCTCAGAAAGTCTGTGGTCGTGTAGAGGAACGATGTCGCGTTGGCATCGTTCGCAAAGAAGCCGTCTAAAGCTGCGGTCTGTAGCTCCCTTTGGGACTCGGAAGAAGAAGCAATAGTAAAGAGAAGCAGATACAAGAGTGCGCAGATTCCGATTCCGAGATAGCAATCAGTAGAATAGCAAGAAAGAAAGCGAGGAAAAGCTTCGACTTAAATAAGAAGCTTTCATCTCCAATCAGCCCCTACCTCAGAATCCGCTCGTTCCGCCTCGCTTCCCATCGGAACATCCATTGCTGCCGAGCTTTCCGCCCTTCTAGTTACTAGTTCTGCGCCGTAATCCGCTTTCACTAACGGATCCAAATTCGCCTTAACTGTTCCGCTCTGTTGTGGTCCTGTCACACCGCCGGCCTCGGGCCCCAACTCTTGCTCTGCTCTGGCATTTCCGCCGGAATCTGCTCTTGCCCTTCCGCTCCGTTCCGCTCCCGCCTTTCTGCCCAGCCCCGGTTCCCAACCAGCCACCGCCCTCAGGAACCCAACGTCCCGCGTCTCCCTAAACCTCACGCCTGCGAATGAAAGAAACTCTACATGTCAACAATGTTGAAGATCAATAAGGAAATTGACGAGGACGGAATGGCTTAGTATGGCAGTTAGAGAGGGTTGTGGTGCGGAGCAGATTGTCGTGTGCTTAGAATTTTTGTGCAGGTGAATACAAAGAGTCCTCTTCATTGCAACTATATTCGAACAAGCTGCTGATATCGGAAGACAAGAAGGTTTTGAAGTATAATAGACGAATAAGTTAGGAAAACACAACCAAATCTGGTGATAGCTGATTTTGACTAATTGTGAGCTTTCCTCCCTTTTCTAAAGTGACTGGGTGTACAAAAGTGCTGTAACACTGGAAGAATCTAATCGCTACATAATATTACGGTGTTTACCTGCTGTTTCCGTCGGTTTGGGCACACCAGGGCTCCCCGGAACGGTCCACCGACGGAACGCGTCCCTCGCCGCCCCAGGGCTCCCCACCAAAAGGTTTACCTCCGGGAAGTTTTGCACGCTCCAGGGGGGCGAACCAAGCAGGGAATGTAGCCCCCCACCCGGCTCCAGCGACGCCGCGCCTGGGCTGCCGACCGAAGTAGGATCCGTCGGGAGACTTTGGCTTCTGAAGAGGGGGGAACCGGGGCGGGAAATTGCCCCCCAGCCTGAGGCAATAGTCGGGTCTGGATCTTTCCGGGGGGGCGATGATGGCCGAGAATCGGACCCCCCGCTTGGTCCCTTGTTCGTTGCACCCGGACTGCCCTCTCTAAGACGCATCTCTGGTGGATTTGTTTTCCAGGGGGGTGAAGCAGGCGGGGAAGCGAGGCCCCCGTCGGCGGCGGAGGCCCGAACGCGATCTTTCCAGGGGGGCGATATTGGTCGCGAAGCGGTCCCCTCGCCAGAGGCCCACGACCGTCGCTGACACTGCGGACTGTCCAACAGGTGCCGGACGCACGAGTCGACGTCGCCGGACAGAATGCTGTCCCAGTCTAGTTGCGCAAGGTCTTCCAGGCTCTGCTGCGTGGGCTCTCCCCTCTCTAGTTCAAGTCCTCTCTTCTGTTTGTCTCGATCTAGCTCCCCTTCGGCCCTTTCCCCTCTCTTCCGGTCTCCACCTTTTGATTCTCCCCTCTCTACTTCTGGTTCCGTCCGTTCAACCTTCGCTGGGTTTACTTCCGATCCTCTGCCCTTCTCTACTATTCCTTCCATTTGATCTCTAAACTCCAACCCTCCATCCGTCCTTGCGCCCATCTCTAGGTTTTCTCTCCGCTCCCCACTCTCCAACTCTCCGCTCGCCATCGCCTGCTCCACTGGTCCTTCATCGCCGATCCACAGACCCGTGCTTTCTTTCACTGAACGGTCACCCTCGAAGGCATTCTCACTACCTGACGGCTGTTCTTCCAACCCTCCACAGCGTTCCAGATCATCCGGATCATCCCGATTCCCTTCGAATCTGGCTCCCAATGCAGCGCCCAGCGGGTAGCCCGAAACTGGAAGCTGGGTTGCGGTCTGCTGAGTCATCCCTTCTGCAGCTGACAGCTTTTGTTTACCCAAAAGTGCCGTTTCTTCGAGCTGCCCATCAGTTGCCGCCTGTTCGAAACCTCTCGTACTCACCATCTCCGCCCGACCGCACAAACTTATTGAAACCCCAGTGACCGCAACGCTCTCCTCAGCCGAACCGGAAGGGATCCCCTGCTCGGACGCGTCCGTGAGCTCAGCTTTGCCGTCCGTTTTCTGTTTGGGGGGCTCTGACCCGCCCCTCGCACCACCCCACAAAGAGGAGGGTGCGCTCTCTCTGTCCGTTGAACCGTCTGCAGGGTTTGGGATAAGGTCCGAAACGCCGTCCAAATTCCCCGATTTATCCTCTGCCGACTCTTTGGAACCGTCCACAGACGCTTCTGTAGCATTCGCAGACCGCTGTGTGTTCCTCGGTCCATCAGCCGCCGTCTTGAGCTGCCCGTTCGGCGGCACTGGCGCTGCTTTTGCAATCCCAGGGACCCCGCTCTCAAAACCCGCCAGCTCTTCCGACCGACCAGAACTGGCTGCCCGGTCTTGGGGCACGGCTTCAGCGGACGCGACCACTGATCCTGTGTCCAAACTCCTGTCCGACTTCTCGTCCGCATCAGCAAACGCGATGCCCCGTCTGTGCTGAAAACCGAGGCCGAGCGCCGGATCGGCAGCGCTTATCCTTTGCTGTGTCTGTTGAGAATTCTTTACAAGAATCGGCTCGTCCTCTGTGCCCGGAGGGTCCTTACAAACTTTCGCTGGAACAGGAAGACTTTGCGGACCGGCTTGCGACCCGCCACCCCCGTTTTTTCGTCCACCAACCCCGTTCTGTTTGTCTCGAGGTCGCCTCGTCTTGTTCGCACGCACCCTGATGTCAGCGTCCGTTTTCACACCCTGGAGTTTCAAAGCAACTTCCTCATCCCCATCTAAACCCCCAGTTTCGGACACCGCCTCTTCTGTCCCCGCATTGTGGCCCCGTTTAGTCTTTTCAATCTTAAAGTCAGCCTTCTCCCACCCCGCTTTGTCGCCCCGACCACTTTCCCCGGTCTCTAAACCAACCTCCATTCCGTTCTCCTCCGCTGCCCGGTTGGCTCCCCCTGCCAGCTTCAGATCCTCCAGCCTACACGCGAGCGCCAGCGTTTCGAGCTTTCCGAGAGCGCCGTCGAGGAGACCTCCAAATTTCACGGGACTTTCCGTACTGCCCACAGACTGGGTGTCTCCATCCTCCATCTCGCTCTCCTGCTCAGCTCGATACCAACTTTGTGATGCAGCTCTGTTAGCAGCCTCTCCAGCTGTGGCTGTGTCAAGGAAGAGGGGGGTCGGGGTCGACGTTGGAAGCTGAGTACGAGCCGCAGGGCTTGGCACGTCGTTTGACACCATGCGCCCACCAACACGTTCTGCTCCAGTCTCAAGAGGAACCTCGGTGTTAGACTCATCATAGGTCCTTGTTTCTTTGCGGTCGTGCCTCGCAAACAGCCCCTCCGGATCCTTGGCTGTTTGGCAGTCTGGCGAGAAGGAACCCTTCCCCCATGAAAAAATTACTCGTTCCCTTTCCGTGGCAGAACTTTCCCTCTGCGCCTCAGCTTGGCCCCCAGAACTCTCTTCACCCACTGTACAACCACGGCCCAACTCTGCCCGTTCCTTCAACCACCAAAACCGCACCCGATTCCCCTCTGTCTGACCGCCCGTTTTTGCACTCCCCTGGAACGGGCCTGAGCTGCAACCTAGAGCCAAGCTGCCGGTGACCACTTCCTCCCCACTGCCTCCCGCCGCATTCTTCTTAAGGAGCTTTCCACGGTACCTGATTGGATGGCAGAGGGCGAAGAGGATAACGATCAGTTTTTGATAAAGAACTCCTTCTATCCATAGAAGAGAGCGGCGGTAAACAGGGCTTGAAGGTGGCAACATGTAACCACCAGCTTGGCCCCCTCGTATCTTGCATCTTTCTCTGGACTTAGCTGTACTTTCATGTCTGTATCTTCTGTTTATTGATTCGAATTGCAAATCATAGTCGCGTTCGTGTGTGCTGACCACTTATATCACATTCGAACGAGCTTTTTGTTTGCCAGCTAGAGGCAAGTTCTGCAACATAATACTAATGCACAAAAAGGGGATCCAAGGAAAGCAAAAGTTGCAAGCTCTTCTCTGATATGCTGATACCACTGATGATAGAGATATTTAGAAAGGAGATAAAACTTTACCTGGGGGGCGAGAAAAACTTGCTACGAGGGCTCCGAAAGGGCCGCCCAGGGCTGATGAGGTCAGCGACTCGCCCGCGCAGAGCAGTAGTCCCCACGCGCAGGCTGGGGGAAAGGAGAACTCTGTCCCGCGCAGCGCAGGGGGGAGAAAAAAAGCGGCCGCGAGCGATAACTTCCGGGGGGGTGAGGGGAGGCTCTGCTGAGGGGGGGGGCACCGCGAGTGGGGCTGGGACTATGACAGATGGGGCTGTTCCGGGGGGCAAAACCTGGACAGCTGGCACCTTTCTTTCCCGAACTAGGAGCTTGACCTCAAATGGCTGAGCTGGGGGGGACAGTGGTTTTGCTGACGACTGTGTCTCATCGATCGCTTGCATGCATAGCTCGTCTTTGAGCGCTGGACCCATGCTCTTCTCCGCACTCGCAAGCGCTACATCAGACGCTGCAGTCATCGTATCCTCCAGTGCTGCCCCCGGCTCTAGCGACATTGGGACAGCTGGCACTGGCCAGCGCACAGGAATGCTGTTTCCAGCATTGATTTTTGCGGGCTCCATTTTCCCTGTTCCGTCACCATTTTCATTTTCCAGGGGGGTCCCATTCCTCTGCCGGAAGGGCACCAAGCTCTCCCCCCTGGCAGCAAACGAGTCCCACAGCCTCCTTTGCCGCGGCGGCGGGCTCCCTTTCTCCGGTGTTCTTGACTGCGCTGGTTCCGTAGCACCCTGGATTTTTCTGGTCGCATTTTCGCTTAAGGGTTTGGTGCCCTGGTCCAGGGCCGGTTGTGTATTTCGTTCTGGGGGTTTCCATTTGGGAGGAGAAAGCCAGCGGAGATCTGGGAGGTTGAAAGCCGGGCGTTGATTGGCGGGCGCCATTAAGACCTGAGCAACTCAACGGTTCCTAAGTGAATGGATGCGGGCGAGGGAGTTATGGGCCTATCTGTTAATGCTATGCAGTGTCAGTCATGCAGACAAGCATACCTTATGTCGTTCGCTAGATATCTCTTACATGGGGCTTTCCATTCCGGCCCCTCTGCAAGCGTCCCCTCTTCTCAGCTCCAGGGATGTTTCCTCCAGCTAGCTGATCATGGCCTTGTTCAGATTATTCTTTTCGTCCTCTTATCGGACTTTAGCAGCTTGTGAGAAGGAGCATTTCCGCATGTGAGAATGACGTTCGCCCTCATTGGCCGCGGCCATCACTGTAGATTCATTTGTCAGCACACTTTGAAGATGGCACTACTCATAGGGTCTGTTCACAATGACATGGGGGTCAGGCACGCTTGTTCAGAGCGTTTCGTCACATGCATTTCGGCCGAACTCGCATACTAACAACCAACTCACCCTGTTTATCTACGGCTCAAAAGGCTCCAATACATTTTATCGACGGTCATTCGATGGGCGGCCGCTGGCTGACATCAGCCAATCTCTCGCGTGGAGCACTTCGAGTTGATCAGACGGTTTGATCAGACTGCTTTCAAACCTGATTTCTCGTTTGCAGAGAAATGTATATACAATCTTGATTCAGAGCATGATCATATGCAAAGCTCAGCAAACGTTGATTAACGCGGAGACTACTTTGTGGTGCTGTAAAGCAATGCTGTAATGCAAGGCCATCATGTGTTAACATGGCCGTGTGTGAGCCATTGCTGATATTTGCTCTCTGACTGCATTCTGATCAGGGGGGGAGCTCGAGCTGCAGCAAATAACTCAGGGACTTGCATTTTACAGGAGTCTGAAAACTTCCAGACTTGTTCTTCAGTGTGTTGCTCCGTCATACATGCAACGGTCACCACAACATAGCAGGACACTTGATCCAGCTCCTGAACAAAGCCCATGTATGCGGCAGCAGCACCGCGGGCACAGCTGGCAGAGCCGGCATTGTGAGTCCTTTCAGCAAGCTGTCGTAGAACACTGCAAATATTCACTGGCTGAAATGTCAGCTCGCGATACTCTGACTTTTCAAAAAATTGTATCTGAGCTAGAGTGAGGGTTCCAAGAACCTGGTGTGCTTTTTCCAGCCGGGAGTTCTGGGGACGTACCTTTTGCAGGCTTTGTCTAAAAGCCTGTGAAGAGTAAGCTCAAAAAAAACTGCTGGCGAACATGCGCAGAACGTGTCACATATAGCCGGTCAGCCTAGTAGTAATCTGTGCACACAGTGGGCATGCATCCAAGTTTGGTAGCTGTGTATATCTGATATATGTACTGAGCACTACAAAACACTCACTACTGGCCACTGCAAAATCAGAGCACACCACTGCAACTTGCAGATGAGTGATGTTGCATCCGATATCGATTCCACCGTTGACCAATACCGCTAGCACTTTAACACTGACTGCGAGCTTTCTTACCTCCTGGTTCACAGGTCACTACAGCTTTCAAAGAGGAGCTCCTTGATGCATTGTCGAAGCCTCCCTGTCCGGTCGCTTCTAGGCTTTCCGCACCAGATTGTGAAAGTCGGCAGCAGCGCCGGCGGCTTGGCAACAAGGAACCGGCTATGGGAGACTAGCTTTTGCAACGAAAGGTACTGAAACTTAAGTTTCAGCCTACTCTTTCGTCAGCTCCTTGCTAGTGATATTGGTGAAACTCATGCATCAATCGTGACAGGAGTTTAATTAGCTGGGATCCAAGCTGATTTGCAGTCTGCATTAGTCAGCCAGCACCTGCCCCAGAACGAATCCTCGGAAGTTTGAGCAAAATCGCAGACGAGTCTTGCAGCGTTGGGCCCTTTACCTCTCGAAGCAGGCCGACTCTCAAGTGTCTCTTCATAGCCTTCCGTTAACACACCTCAAAAGCACCTCGCCTTTCTGCAGCTCATGAGGAGAAGCGAGCAAGCCACGAGAGCAGAGGTCCAATGTGGAACCCACGGATACAACGACGAAGATGTGAGTTTCTTCCTCCAGGCCCGTGTCTTGTCAAAGATTCCTATTTCAAAAGTTGAAGCTAAGCAATCAACGGTCCTAGGAACCAAACGTGTATTCTCAACTCACGTAACGACTACCGTACCGTGTATGTCGAGGACGTAGTATGACACCGTACACCACAAAGAGGTGTTCATCAATCAATAAAAAAGAATTGGACGACGTCGCCATCGATTACCGGCCTCTTCGTTTCGAACTTTGAGAATCTGTTTAAGAATTTGTGGACATTATGAATCCCCGCGTCTGCCCTACTTCAATTGAATCAGCGCCCGAGAGGAACACAGGCTTTCCTGACTCCGCATGTAGTCGATTTCTCGACATCTTAACGAGAACAGCTAGCAGGTTACGCGTAAGCCAGTCTTTGCTGTGTCCTGCGCGTGACTATCGCGCGTCACAAGTGAAGCTGATTAACATATGAAGCCAAAGTTCCAAAGTTGGTGCCGTGCCCTTTCGACATTGTTTCGTTTCTGACTGCCCTTGCAGGAGAGTAATTTTGACACTTCATCTGATGAAGACACAGCCGAAGACTCCCTGTCATTCCATTTACGACGACGAAGACGATATTGTCGTTGAAGACGACTTCGCTTTTCCTGACAAGGGAGTGGATCCTTTTACGATGACGAACGTGTCTTGTCAAGTCACTGGACTTCCTATGTCCGTCTGGATCAGCCTGAAGAACGAGCGAACAGATGTCCCGAAGTTAAGAGTATCGCAGGGTTATGGAAACTCGAAAGATGTTGGTAAGTGGTTCACGGTGACGATTGAGGATAACCCAAGGATAATCGGAAACACCGGGAGCATTCGGTTCAGGGACTTTGTGCTGATCGAGGAGTTTGTCTCCAAAAATCAACGAGTCCTGGAAGATCACTGGAACCAGGAAGAACATATCCTTTGCTGTACGGCACTCTTCAACAGCCTGCAAGGCATGTAGACACGATAATATACGATTGATCCTTTTGTACCCCCTTAGATGTGTTCTCGTGATTCCAAATAAGAAAATGGCCTTATGGCTAGCTTAAACTTGGCAAGAGCTCTCTGGCACAGTGCAGTCAAGTACCTTGAACCTATCTCAAAACATTAGAGTTCAACCGTCCCGTAAGGTTCAGTGTGCGTTTGCAAGTCAGTTATCATTGGTTTCGAACTGAGCAAGTGTGATTGACCATGATAGTGAGATGCCACCCGTGTGGCACGTGTTCAATTCGGGCCAATTGTGCCGCCTGAGAGCGCGGGCCACGCGCTGCTACTAATCAAAATCGTGCACGGTTGGAACCGCGATGTTCTTTGAGAAGCGGATTGACGGCAGGCGATTGCGCATAGGTGTGCTGCATTAGATAGTGCAGCCCTGGCATGATCAAGTGCAGTGCAGCGCCATCTTGGATATCGCCAATTGCAGTGGCTAGCTATACGCGTCAGCTGGCAGTATCTGGGCATATTCTTGCAGATTGCATGCTGTACAAGTCGGATATTCGCAGTCCAATCATTTCCGGCCTCGTTTGTATCGCAAGCGTACTGAACTTCGGAAGCGTGTCTGAGCTTTGATCGACTCAACGTGACTACATGCATGCGCATATAGATCATTGATTGACAAAGTCTATAGTACAGTATGCTGCGGGGTCCATTGACCACGTACACGGCGGCCATTTGGGCCCGCGCCGGGCCGCACATCTCATCGAAATTAGCGTAGCTAGCTAGTCACTGTCACCGGGATCTGCTTAGAATGGTCACTGGATCGATTGACTTAGGTTCCGTTTATCCTAGCTTTGATCTGTATCTAATTATACGTACTGGTACGTCGGATCGACTCAAGGCGCTGTCACTGTGCACAGCGGCATATCATGTGCGGCAAATGATAGAGTACGTGCATGGCGAGGCCCGTCGGACCTCACGATCAATGAATCTGATAAGATGTTTATGAAATGGACCTAACTGGAAATTGCTGGTGTACCATTACCAGGGGGGCCCGTAGCATTGCAAGGCATACCAGTACCGGCTATGTCCACATGCAACTTAATCATTGATTAAAGCCAGACTAAGATCAAAGCCAAACCGAGATTGAGATTGACGGTGTCTAGTACGCTGTGTGTCAACGTGACAAAGGATCACTAGGTGGCCTAGAAACGCGATGCGGGCCAGGCAAACTGACCCTAAAACCCGGTGGAGCATACCGTACGGCCATTTCAACCACGTCAAAAAATCCTTAGTTTTGAAGTTTAGTACAGTTGCAAGCATTAGTATGCCGCTGTTACTGGGCCCCGGCTTTTATCAACATCGATCACTGTTGGCGGCCCAGGTCAAACACAGTAGTCCTAAGATGCAGAGCACTCTTTTGCCGTACTTGACTTGAAGCAATTCGTCTACGAGTTCCGTCCCTCTACTTGACGAGCTTTGGGAGCTTTCTTCTACTTTGCAGTAGGCCTTATTCATTAACACAGGACTTGCAGGATTATTTTGACGTCACGTTTATGCCCGCGTCCGCGAGCAACTCAAAGAGCTTACCGCTTCTTTTCAAAGCCATCGTATCTGCAAAGACAAACGGCCAATATGACTTGTTGAACCAATGGTACGACCAGAAGTGGGGCTTTGGAGCAGGCTGAGGGGCAGTATCGAGGCGACAAAAACGATGTGATTACGCTAGTAGAAGATGGGCTGTGAAGTTGGTCGAATTTTCGGAGACTCGCAATAAGCGGCAGAGAAAAGAAGGCCAACTCACCATCACAGCCACCAATATGCTTTCCCCCTGCAGATAGACGCCAGAATGTCAGTTTGGTTGCGGGTGCGCAGGGGAGACTTCCGACTCCTTCGATGTGGCCAAACAGGCTGCTCGACCCTGTATTCATCTCGAAAGCAACCAGTACTAGAGGCTGTCGAAGCTGGCGAAATAGCAGTCCATATGCAGGCAGCCAATGTGAGCATAATGCGATAAGACATCCAAAAGCTGAGGTGTCGAAGGTGAGGACGACTTGCCAATGAACACGTTCGGAACTGTTGCCTGGCGCGTGAGCTCGTAGAGAGCATCCTGTACCTCCTCCTCTTCATCTGCAAATGGAGCAGGAAAGAATTCACTTAGGCAGGCTCAACACAGTACAACTCTACGGGAGTCACCGGCAGACTACTCTGGTTGCAGATGGGTAACTCGCTCAAATATGGGGGACTGCAAACACATACCTGGGACTGCAAAGGCGCTTTTACCCTGAGGTGGCTCAGACCACAGCCAACAGATGCAAGATGCCAAAATCGATAGAACTTGATTGTTTGTCCTTCTTCGAACATCTTGATGCTGCATTCTATCCAATGTCGTGGTACTTGAACACAGCGCCTGACTTCGGGGGCGGAAGGACAGAGTCGGGGGAGAAAGAAAGAGATTCAAAGAACAGGAAACGAAGCCATCTGCTCTAGGTAAGCTATCAAGGAGCAACTCACTGATTTCGTCTAGTTCGATCACTTTCGCAGGCACCCCCAATTGCCTGAAAAGGCCCTTCACTTGAGAGCAGTACCTAAAAGGCAAAGGGGAATATTTGTTCGTGTGAAGCACACCAAAAACGCATGAATGGTTGCAGGAGTCACAAGAAGGTAGATTACTTTTACAAAAGCACTTTGCATTTGGTTAGCTCCTTCTGGCATCGATGTCCGCATATCTTCTCAATAGCGGAAAGATGTGGTTAGTTATGCTCTCTGACAACAACAACAACAAACGAATGCTGGATTAGGCATGCATTCCGCTGTGGTGAAGCACTAAATGAAGTGCGGACAATAACGGTACAACATGGGCATCATTCAATTCTCCAAACATCCAACTCCGCAAAGGTGGCAGCAACTCTTGAAAGAGCAAATCACTGACTCTTCTCTGAAATGCTTCTTTCAGCTTCTCAAAACAAGCGCACTCAGATAAACCAATCACCGAATGCAATTGAGTCATAGGAGTCCCCTATTAGAGCAATCAAAGAACCACAAGGGAGGGAACTCACGGACACCATGACTTCGAGTAGACTATCACAGGGTTCTCTTCATTCTTTTTCTTCACTTCTTCAACGATACCGCTCCCAGAAGCTTTACAGTGCAAGGAGGCTCTGCGGCACAGGGAAGGCGCCTCTAGAATGCCATGGCTTGTTGACATGATACTGCCAACTGAAGGCAGCGGATTCATTGCAAATGTGCTGGCTTTTGATCCAAGCCAAGACTTTTCTAGATGAGCAGGGTATGTGTTTAGCAACACCGGTGACCTAGACAAGTAGACAGCTCGGCTGTAGATGTACGAGGGTGTGAAGAGCAGCACTGCATTGCAGGTGTTCGATTGGGGTGGCGCGCGGATCGCAGAGGGGGTAAAGAAGGACGCTGCCCTGTTTGCGATGCAGGACGCCATTGGCAACTCCTTGCTTGGGCCTTTCACGCTTCAATTGACTCCAATTGCCCCCAACTGAAGGCTCAAAGGCTCCGAGTCCAGCAGCTGCCCCCTCTGAGTCTTGACGCAAAAGAAAGGCAAAAGAATTGCGAAGTTGAATGCAAGCCAGCTCACGAGTCACGACTCACACGGCTCAGCCTCAGGTTTGACCTTCTGTGTGCATCGGGATTGATGTGTGTACAGCGCCTTCCCTCGAAAGCCGTACCGGTCAAAGAGGTACCGTGCCAGAACAAGTGTCATTGCGTTCGTGGTACGTACCAAGAACATCATGTTGGATACCACGTGGAAAATTAAGGAAGCTTGATTGGTTCATTGGACCATCCCATTACACTAGCTAACTGCGAACCCATTGATGACGTAAGCATAAACAGGGTTTGATCTAAACCGAACCCGTTTGTATCCGCAGTCCAGCCTCCAGGCTATTGAGCAACTGTAGCTTAACGTCGAAAGCGGGTTGCGTCCTTGACTCAGGTGATCTTGTCACAGTCAATGTAGGCCCCGGCTAAATTAGGGTTCACCACACTCGAACTTCGGAAACTTGAAAGCGCTCGATCGCCAGCCTTAGCCACCTGTTGAGCTTGGTAATTTATGTCAGCCCTTTGCTCCTATTCTAATTACAGGCATCAACTGATGCTTGAAGCGTAGAATCAGGAGACCCATTGGTAAGCGGGCCTTCTTTTTCTGGGTGGCGCAGAACCTGTCGCAACAATGCAAGCAGCCATCAGGGCGTCGCGGCCCGTCAACTTGTGGGGTCTGCAGCTGGCCTTTCGTGTGCCCTGGGTTAGGCAGCTCTCCAGCTCAGAAGGGTTTGTGCAGCCTGGTGCTGAACCTGACCAGTCAGACGCGGGCACTCATACACAAGCAACAGAGAAGCAGGATGCGCTTCACAAAGCTTTGCAGCAGCAGTTGGAGGAGATGAAGAAGGGCGGGACTTTCAAGAGTGAGAGCTGAAAGTCCATCAACTTTGAGCTGCTCCATGTTGAGTTTTAGGCTCTGGGTTGTAACCCTCTCGGTGCTGGGGGTGGCGACGTGCTCAAGCTCGATCATGCATGCCTCACTATTCCCGGCACCGGCACTTTATCCAAAGTCGGAAAAGGAAGGGGGAATTTACTGGAAGTTTGCCATATCATCTCTTCCTCTCTTTCTGGAAAGCTGCAACTCTCACTTTCTAACTCCATCTGCCCCATAGTATTCTCCATGTTATCTGCCTTACTTTTTCTTATCAGTTTTTGCTTTACCAACCAATTTGATATGCGCAGGTGAGCGAGTTATCACGACCCCCCAGTCTGCGTCCATACACGTCGCCGGTGGTTCCTTCGCTGTCCTGAACTTCTGTGCAAACAACTACCTGGGTCTCAGCAACCACCCCACTCTAGTTGCGGCCGCCAAGAAAGCGCTTGACACGCACGGTTTTGGCTTGTCTTCTGTGCGCTTCATCTGTGGAACGCAGGACTTGCATAAGGTACGTTGGTTCCAGGACCAGAGGCCACAAAGTCCTCTCTTTCTATCGCAGTCAGGGCTTTGTGTCAACGTATGTTTCCTTCTTGAGATAGCCACACTGGGAAACACCACCAGGATTGGCCACTAAGAAAAGCTATGTTAGGAAACGCCATTGGTGAGATGCTCTGATGTTGAAGCGTTGTCTGGTGACTCTGCCGTTGCGCCTGCACGTTTTGCTTCTTAGAAGGTACATTTGGTCGCTTCAATCTCGCTGCTTTCACGTCTTCCTTATCTGATCCCCTTTGCTTGAGAAGCTAATTGAGAAGCCAATCGAGGGGAGCCCCATAGCTACCTTCCAGAGGTGCCTGTAGGAATAGGAATGAAGTCTACATACCAGAAAACGATTACGCTGGTCTAGATACATACAAAACGTCACTTTATGCTCGGATCTCGAACGGACACTGAATAGCTGGCGCCGGTCTCTGCAGGAACTGGAGGCGAAGTTGTCGGAATTTCATGGGACTGATGACACAAGTGAGGACCTGCGGAGCTCTTTGCTCGATTTTTGACTCACTCTCACTCTAGTCAACACGGAGTTTACGTATATTGTTCGTCATCGAAGTTCGGGATAGGACCTGGATCCTGATGCCCAAAGCAGGGGCGTGACAGCTCAAGTTCTCGTGATTTCTACGTCGTAACCCTGTGGGTTCTCAAATGCCTCGAGTCATTCGGACTTTTCTTGTAGGTTTTAGATTGCCCGTCTCTGATGTGACTCAAAGTTTAGTCATCTGAAGGACCCTTCAACAGTCCTGCGTGACCCGCTCCTTGATAAAAAACCTATGCGACTGTCTTTATTGAGATTACATTTGAATCAAGATAATAATCCGAACAGGCGGGGTGAAATTCCGTCGGTAATTTTTGGAACCCGAGACCGGCAATGTTTTTGGAAGCGATGACCTGGCAAGCTTCAAGGGCAAAACCCCTGCGTTGGTGTCGTCCGACCAATCGTTGCCCGAGAAGGCCCCTAAACAAGCCGATCCTTGCCACGTCATCAGTGAAAGACTGCAATTCTGGCCTATGTCTCAAAAGTACAACTCCCCTTGACCCCGTTCCGAAAGCTGCAACACTGTTTTCACCCGGTTGTATTGTCTGCAGTTCTGTACCCCAGCTGCTTCGACGCGAACGGGGGCCTCTTTGAGGCGATCCTGACGTCAGAGGATGCTGTCATTAGCGACGAGCTCAACCATGCGAGCATCATCGACGGCATCAGGCTCTGTAAAGCCCAACGACGGAGGTGAGAGCAAGTTAAAGACGTCGACGTGTCAGGCATAACCGTTGACGTCAGGAAAGAGAAGTCCTACCTGAGACGAGGCCGGACATGCTGCCCTCCTTTAGGAACGGTAAAGTTTGCCAAAAAAGGCGACCTTAGAAGCTGGATTCTGTTGGACACTCAAATCACCCTTCTCAGTCTTTCAAGCGGATTCTTTTCTGTCTCTGTTTCAATCTACAATGGTTGCTCAAATCTTCCAGACACAGACACGTCGACACAACCAACTTCGAATTGCATTTGCGTAAAAGTCAGGGCCCGCGCGTGCAGGTGCTTGCGACAAACGTTTCACATGGATTTGCATATTCGAGGTATCACTCAGGCACTTCTTCCTCTCTAGAACACAAATGGGAAATCTAATCGTTGTCAAAACTCCCCAGGTACAAACACGTCGACATGGCCGACCTCGAAACGCACCTGCGAGAAACACAAAATGCGCGCGTGCGGCTGATCGCGACCGACGGCGTCTTCAGCATGGATGGCCACGTGGCGCCACTAGACGAGATCGTGGGCCTCGCCCAGAAGCACGACGCGGTCACTTTCGTGGACGACTGCCACGCGACAGGGTTCCTAGGGGCGACGGGGCGGGGGACGGATGAGTACTGCGGAGTGCAGGGCAAGGTACGATCTGCATTGGGCACCTCGATTTCTAGTTGACGTCCTTGCGATTCAGCGGGGCTCTTCGCGTTTGGTGTCAAATCATGCTGTGGGTTTGGACGGGGAGCAGTTCATGGGGACGACAGAGCGGGGGACGGATGAACTCTGCGGAGGGCTGCAAGGTGGGTGTACATTGGATTCACGCTCCTGGAGATTTGACCGGCGGGCCTGGGAAAAGGAGCGCTCATATTCAGTCGAGTCTGTTTGAAGGGGAAGTAAATTTTGGCGCTACCGGATGAGTGCTGGGGAGGACGGCTGGCTCTCGCTTTTGTCAGGCCGTGTTAGGCAATGTTATGCAGGTGAACTTCGCCACGGCCGTCTTTGTTGTCGTGCGTCGGCGCTTCGACTTGTAATGGAGGAACAGATTGTGGGAACACTACTTCAGGGGACCCTTTCGGTCATGAACGAGTTGAACCATCGCTTCAACTCTATCAGAGAGTTGCTGTCGAGGCTGCAGTCCAAAGGCATGAGGTGCTCTTGACGTTTGAAACTTTATCTGTGTCAGAAACGTTGTCGAACACCTGAGCGCACCTCGTGCTACTTTAATCCTACACAAAAGCAATGGACGAGCCAAAAGGCGGCCCCAAGGGCAGCACCAAAACAAGCCTGTTTTCAGTTTTCGTCGAGCTTTTATCTGCATTTCTTTGCTTTAGGCGATGAGTGAGAAGTCGGCCCTTCGATTGTCTGGTCTTCTGTAACGTGCCAAAGTCACTGCGATCCCTGTCTGATCGTTGTTGTGTTTCGAAAATCTCGATGTGGGAAACACCAAGTGCGTCTTTATTCTTTAGCAATGATACTGTGGTCGCCAAAACCTTTGCGTTAGTGCAACATACACGCGGTATTGGGCGTCCTTACATTCCGCGTCGACCAGCTTCGCATCTCTGGTCCGCATACAGCTTTGTACACTGCCTTTCTGGCAAGTCTTGCACCAGGTTTGTGTTTTTTGTACCACGTGACCGATTGAACCGTTCTTATTGGTCCGGAGGATCGTAGATGAGCGCTCACCCATTTCGGTCGACGTGGAATTTCATAAAACAGGGTCTTAACAATCCGCATGTTTTCCTGCTCGCAGGTCGATATCATCAACTCGACGCTCGGCAAGGCGCTCGGGGGCGCGACCGGGGGGTACACTACGGGGCGGAAAGACGTTGTCGACATTCTCCGTCAAAAAGCGCGGCCGTACTTATTCTCCAACACGCTCGCTCCGTCGGTGGCTGCCGCCAGCATTGCAGCGATGGACCTTCTTATAAGCAGGTGCGGTTCGAGAGTGCTGCTTATGACTCGCAGCTTTGGGGGCGGCACGAAGGCCGTTTTGGGTTATCGTTTCCGGACGGTGAATTTGAACTCCCTCGTGGCGCTTGACAAAACAAAATGTAGAAATATTGAGTTCTTCATTGTGTCGTTTCGAACTCGTGGGGAGGGACAGAGTCGACAGAGTGCGCTCATCTGCTGGTTTGCGTATTATGGGATGCCAGCGGTTTAAGCTGCTCAGAAATGGAGACTGAGAAGCTGCTCTGCCCACTCGATGGCGCCCGATACTTCCTTTCGCTTCTACGCTTTCGTTTCAAGGTTGCATTGCGCAAAAAAAGCGCCTTTCCAAGTCGGCTTGATGCTTTCTTAATTGTTCTCGCTGCTCCAGAAATCCTTACACCGAGCACTTGCCAGAAGGCACTTGTCCCGCGTTCTGTTGCGTTGCGCAAAGCTGAGTCGTTCGTTCTTTCCAGAACCGGTTTGAGCAGCTTTCGAGCGCCAGAAGAACCCGTCCTCTCTCCGCTGCCCAGTCGGCAAATATAACTTTGGATGTGACTTAAGGTGACATTCTCCTTCCGTCCTCTCTGCAGCACCGAACTTCGGGACAAACTCGCGGACAACACCGCGTACTTCCGGAAAAAGATGGCGGCGGCGGGGTTCAAGCTGCAAAAAGGCGACCACCCAATCGTGCCCATTATGTTGGGGGACGCCCGACTGGCCCACGACATGGCCGAAAAGTTGCTCGAGAAGGGAATCTACGTAATAGGTTTTAGTTATCCGGTTGTGCCAAAAGGCGCCGCTCGCATCAGAGTACAGCTCTCGGCCGGTCACTCTAGAGAACAACTAGACAGAGCGATCGCAGCATTTCAAGCTGTTGGCAAGTCTTTGGGTGTAATCGATTGACAGCGGTACACATGCAGGACACCTCGTTGTAAAGTGCACCACTGGACTGCTTTCATCCAGGTTATCCGATTACACGACAGGCTCGCCATGAAATCGGCCCTATGTAGATAGACTGTCACTAGTAGCTGATCAACAGCTTTCCTTAGGCGCAGCACTCGTACATTACGAATTGTATCAAGATCTCAAACAGTGCTCTTAGAGCTCTACCAAACCAGAATCCAGGCGGTATCAGTACGTTCCATCACGCAATCAGTGTCTCCTGTTTCACAGGCGGAGAAATCATTCGCTGGAACGTATTGCGGCCGCGCTGTTGTGCGCATACGAGACCTCTGAGTTCTTATAGAGCCTACTAGGCTAAGTGATTGGCATCGTTTCAAATAATGATGCATCAATGGCCGCCAACTGACGAAATAAGTAGGACGTCACGCCGTGCCGTGCAAAGGGCCTAGCTGGTATCCGATATGGCCGGGCGCTAGGCTGAGCCTCACTCAGTGACTGTCAGAGGTACGACTCGGCGCGATAAACACATGCATCTGCAAGTATGCAAGGTTTTTGAGAGCCAGCCATCCGGCCATTTATTATAATGCCCGCGCGTACTAACTTCGCGTCTGAGCAACTGCTTCATACAGGGTACATCATGTGGCAGTACACTGAATTCTTAGTCATAACCACCCACGGCTGACAATTGCAGGACGTTTGAGCCGCCCCTAATCCCCTAAAGCTGCTGGCAATGATCACAATCAATGATGCATCACAGCTGATTATATCATGGCAACCTTGCAATGCACAGAGCTCAGCTGAGCGCCCAGCCCTGTAAACGGGCCCCTCGATCAATTTTAACCCGCTGGCAGCCTGCCTGAGCTTGATCGGATACTATAATACTGTACGAGTTTGGACTACGACACGTTCACATGTACTGCCGCGTCGTTGAATGTGCATGACAAGTAGCATACCCTCGCCAACTGGTTTAAACTCAGGTAGGATATTAGAACGTAATGCAGCAAACATAGGCCGATGAATCTGAAATCCGGGATCGGGCCGGCCATTGAGATGGAGCTCTGCTTTGTACCACAGCTTTCTCAATAAGAAGCATGCTTGGCATGCTTCATGCGTCTGTTTGTGTTCGAAAACCGCCAAACTCTTAAAACCGGTAACTGCAAACTTGAAATTGATACACGCAACTACAAACTGATTCACAACACCGAAGAAAAGCCACTTACTACTCCACCGTCTACGAATTCGTAATTCGGACTCGTTCTGTCTCTTGAGGATTTCACTGCCTTATGTTGCCTCGTTTGCGGACCATCTTATCGTCGTTCTATCCTTCAGACCACAGAAACCAGTGCCAGTCCTCGTCCGACGTCAACCTCACGCACAGACACATCGTCTCGTAACCCCACTCTCACACTGGCTGCTGCTCCAAACCTCCCTCCATCGGCACAAGCTTGTAAGCGCCCGCCTTACGCCTTTGGATCGCATCGCGTATCTTCTTCTCCGCATAGAAACAACCGTGTAGGATCATAGAAGCGGCAACGAACACAGCCGGAATTCCGGTCGCCCACATGGCCATTGTCACAAAGAACGAGTAATCTCCTGCAAGTGGTTTCGCCTCATTAGAGGTTATCGGCGGGGGCGTTCTGACGCGTCCGCCATATGGGTCGCCCAGCTGCGGACAGCTGTCCGGAAAGCCCACGTAGAAGCCCATAGCGTCCGTAATGCACAGGGTCAGAGTCAAGGCAGCGTTACTTTGCGTCAGGAAATGGTTGAGGCCCTCGGAGGGGTCGGGGAGCTGAACCGGGCCTACGTACTGCAGCTCCCTGCTAGGGACTGGGAACATCTCTTCCATTGCCTTGTAGGTGACGAAAGCAGAGGCGCCTACAACGGGAAGACCGACCATGGCAATCAAACCTAGCAAGCAACACCACTTGCAAGCTGATGCCAGCTTTTTGGGAGCAGCTTGATTTTCCGCGCGTTCCCCATCGAGTTCAAACGAGCTTGCTTCCAAGGAGCAAGCAAATCTGGCCGCCGTTTCATCCTCCGAATAAGCGCCCCGGGTTTGTTCAGAATGCTGACCGTAGATTGGTCCCTCATCATCATCCGATGCTTCAGAATCCGGGCACATTGACTCGTGCACTCTCCCTGAAGCTCATACACTCGTCAAAACAGGCCCACAACATTCCTTCATAAAAGCCCCCGACGAGCGCCGTCGCGATTGTGTTCCAAATCAGCTCGCTTATGAAGCCAAACGCGAACCAGGCGCAGTACTCGAAAATTGGTACCTTTGTGTCTTGCATGGTCTCTATCGCAATAGGGGGCGGGAATTCGCAAGAGTTGTCAGACGTTTCCGCTTGATAGAAGTCATACCCTGCCTTGGCGTGACACTTTACCACCTGGAGTGCTCGGGGTTGTCCCCCGAGCAGAGGATTGGTCCAGTTTGAGCACTTTTGGAGGTAGTTGTTCACGAGGGTTGGCTCAGGAAGAAGCAATTGGGTGTCATTGTTTGACGGAGAAGAGACTTCACAGCATGCTGTTGCAAACAACCCGAACAGAAGGAGTACGGAGATTACGCCCCTGCCTTGGCGCGCCATCGTTCGCTGAATTCAAAGAGTTCAAAGACGTTGACACCGCTATCACGCGACAAGAGCTGAGCCCTCCCAATAGTATGATATTTAGCACTCAGAACCTGCGATACATCCACCGAGGTGTATGTAAAGGCGCTGTTGCTCTGTTTACTACCTGTTTCCTAGATGCAAATCTGCCGCATCTGCATTTGTTCGCACTGGTAAATTGCCATGGCACAACATGGATCGGACGGCCGCGGTTCGCGCGGACTTCGCTGGCGGCCGCCCCGCGCCAAGTGCAAGCTGCGGTCGGAGGTTCGGGACGTTTGACTCTCAATACAACGGGGACGTCCGCATCCACCGGGAGGCCCATCCGACTCAATTCTCCTCAGCCTGCTATACTAAGTAGCGTCCGAAACAACGTCCGCATGGTGCCAGCTCCTCTTGAGTCTTGTAGTCTTCATCTGATCATGTACTCTCCCGCTTCAGACCTCAGTCTCGAAGCTCCATGCTAAGTGCTGTAGCCGTAGGGGAGGTTGGGGAGCGCCTGGAATTTGGAAAGGCGCATGCTACCTGTGACGAGCTTCAAACATTTAGCTCCCCCAATGCAAGCAGTGCACATACCGGTCATTGTCAGCCCCAACTCGAACGACGTACACATGAATGCTCGTTAACCAGTAATCATCTCTGGATGCGAACATTGTTCCGGTTGCTGGCTACTGGCCGCGACGTTACATGGGCGGGACGGACAAAGTAGACCAGATGAGCTGAAAAGCAGGACGAGGCATGGTATTTTCTGATACTGTTTTCCTCTTTAGCCAGGTTGCAAAACGCCTACGGCCGGCATATTGTGTGCGCTGAGGTGCACTACGCATGCACGTTGCAGATTGCAAGAGATTCAAGCAGAAGCCTTAAAATGCCCACGTACCATTCTTGTAAGCATCTCAGTAAGGAACATTACAAGCAAATAGTACACACCGAAACAAACTGGCACTATAACCATTTGCGCGGCCGGCTGATAGGACGTTCGTGCCCCTAGCTGCTGTGATCGTCACCATGCATCAAATTTCCATGGCAACTAGTACGAGGGATCATCCCTCGAATGATTTGACCACTGCCCGATGATAGGTTTATGGTGAGAGCAGAGCCTGAAGCCTTTTATATGGGCCCCTCGATCAGTTCTATATCAGTAGCCAGAGCTTGATTGGACACTATATTGCGGACTGAATAGTGCATCCGATCAGTTCATCTATGTCTTTCTTCTCCGTGCTTGATAAGAAACATGGACAACTGGTTTTCATTAAGCTTAGGCTGTCAGTAATATATCGCAGCAAAATAGACGATCGGTTGGATCGCACCCGGCCAGTAAGATGGAGCGCCACGTTGTTCCACAGGTTGTCAATATGAAACATGCTTCTTGCGCGATCTTTGTATCACAGATGCGCGACTTGATGGGGACGTACTATGTTACCTTATAAGAAGTCGCAATTCGGGCTCGTTCTGTTCTTTGAGGATCTCGTTTGTCTTACGTACCGACGTCGTTTGCGGAATATCTTATCGTCGGTTTAGCCATCAATGAAATCTTGTCTATTCTCGTCAACCTCATCCAATTGTCACCGTTAACCCCTCGTTTACACCCGCGGCTTACCGGCCGCCCTACGCATCTCAATCGCGTCACGGATCTTCTTCTCGGCATAGAAACAGCCGCTTGGAATCAAACAAAGAAACGCTCCAGCCACAAAGAAGACCACCGGAATTCCGGTCGCCCACATTGCTATTGCAACAATAGCGTAGTAGTCGGACCGTAGTAGCTCCCGGCTCCCGATAGACGACTTCCGGCGACGGAGGTCGAGTGCGGCCGCCATACAGGTCGCCCAGCTGCGGACAGCTGTCCGGAAAGGCCACGTAGAAACACATCGCATCCGTAACGCACAGCGTCAGGTTCAGGGTGGCGTTGCTTTGCGTCAGGAATTGATTCAGGCCATGAGAGGGGTCGGGGAGAAGAACCGGGCCCACCGGCACCTTCTTGCTGCCCGAAAACATTTCGTCCAGTCCCTTGTGGGTGACGAAAGCGGAGAAGAGCACCAGGGGAAGGCCGACTATAACAAATAGAAGTGCTGGGCTGCAATTCACTGTCTCCGTCTCTAGGTCTGTATAGATTACTTGCTCCCCTGCACGTTCCGCCTCTAGTTCTAACGGGTGAGTGCCCGCATCCTTCACAGCGCGGCCCGGAGCATCCTGTCCTCCCGCCTCAAGTAATGTCAACGTTTCCGTCTGAGCTAGAATTTCCGGATTTACATCTAGATTAGAACAAGCAGAACTAGCGGCTGTTTTTACCCCCGCAGAAAACGGGTTTTGTTCAGGCTGAGTCTGACCATAGACCGGTCCCTGATTCGCGGGCGTAATACCCGGTGCATCGCCCATAGACTTGTGGACCTTCGCCCTGAGCTCCATACAATCCTCGCAGCATTTCCCCACGCACATGCCCAGAGAGAACAACCCTATCACCGTCACGATCGTGTTCCAAATCAGCTCGCTTAGAAAGCCAAACGCAAACCATGCGCAGTACTCGACGATCGGGACCCTTATCTTTTGCAGGGCCTCTATAGGAGGGGGCGGGTATTCGCAGGAGCCGTCAGGCGTTTCTATCTGGTAGAAGTCATACTCCGCCTTGGCATGACACTTTACCACCTGGAGTCAGTGCCCGGGGCTGTCCCTCGAGCAGAGGATTGGTCCAGTTTGAGCAGTTTTGGAGGTAGTTGTTCACGAGGGTTGGCTCGGGCAGAGGCAACCTGGCGTCGCTGCCCACTTCGGTAGAGATTTCAGAGCGGGAGCTCGCAAAGAGCCAGAAAAAGAGAAGCAAGGAAGCTACGTTCCTGCCTTGGCGCGCCATCGTCCGCTGAGCCGCACAATTCAGAGAATTGAAAAAGGTCAACACCGGTGGGAAGCGATCACAAGATAGCACTTGACGCTGCTAATTCACATCAGCACGTTACTGCGCTGATGCTCCGCTTATACGCCTCTTCCTTGTCATCTTCTTTGATACTGTATTTGTTCAGACCGGCCGCAGACCGGCACGACTCGGACAACAAGGCCGGACGGCCGCGGCGCGCGCGGTCCTCGCCGGCGGCCGCCCTGCGCGAAAGTAAAATATGCGGAGGTTTGGGGAGTTTCGTCGTTCAAGGCAAGTGCGGATGTCCGCAGCTATAGAGCCCCACGCCGCGCCTGCCAGGGCTCCGAGTCCAACCGTCCAACCACCGTCCGCATGGTGCCAGCTCCGCTACTAAGTGACCTCTTCAGATCAGGCCCCCTCAGGTTCTTCTCCACAAAGCTGTAGAAGAGGCCACCTATCTAGCGCTGCAGCCTCAGGGGAGCGCCTAAAGGCGCAAGCTACAGTGCTATATTTGTGACGAGCTCCAGCAAGTTTTAGCTCCATCAAGCTGCACATACCTGTCATTTGTCAGCGCCAACGACGCACGAAGTGGTCGTCAGCGCCTTGTCTCTGGATGTAAACATGTGCCCTGGCTAAGCTGGCTTCTGGCCGCGACGTTACATGGGCGGGCCGGACGACGTAGACCAGGTGAGTTGAAAAGCAGAGGAAGGATTGGGGCTTTCTGCTTCTGTTCCTTCTGCTTTTGGTGCTTGAGACAGTGCTCTTGCTGTTGTGTCACTTTTAGCTGAGTCAGACGGTACAATATGCTGACTGCGAAGATGGCTCGGAGCTCATTGATATAGACCAGAAGGCCAACAATTGCAAGGTGCGCCACGAGCACCAATGAGGCAGTCCCTTGAAGTTTCCTGTCAACACCCGTTGGCAAGTTTACTCGGTTCGTCTGCACCCTCCGTCAGCGGCTGCATGTTGTTGGCACATAGGATAAGCAGATGGTACAGTTTGAGGCCGCCAGGTCGTGGAGCAAGCTCCTTCGCAAGGCCATGCAAGTGGGGCGTGAAGCGCAGCCGTGATGTGTTTACAGAGGTTGCAGAGTCTATTGTTCTGTGGCCTTTTGCTTTGCTAACAAGGGCCACCAGAACCCGAGACAGTTTATTACAAAGTGCAGACTGTGTAAGCATTCTTTCTCCTGACTGAAAGAAATAAAAAGATACTTTGACAGAAGTAGTGCGACGAAGTGCAGCGGGGCGATGCACAAAGTAAACAGTATTATGGATCCAGTTTGTGTTCATATCAAACAGATTGTGCATGGCTCGTTAAGGTGGGAGCTGTCAAGGACGTTTAGGGCAAGCTCTTCGTTCCAGCGGAACATCGTGCTTGAGCTTTGCTTTGAGGCAAGCAAGGTCATGATAGTTTCACAACCCAAAGTATGCACTGGTTAGGACTTCAAAAGAATGAGTCTGGTGTCATGATCGCTCTTTCAAGGTCTTGGTCTTTATCGTCGTGTCAAGCCTTCTGACAAAGTCCGCTAGCTTTTGATACGGCTTTTTACACTTGAGGAATGATTACAGCAAACGTTTCGTTCGTATAGGCCATGACATCATACACTTGACATGGGAGTTGGAAAGCCAGGTTTTACTCTTTGAATGAAGCCCTCGAGAACTTAAATATTTACAAGTGTTTTCCTGTGCTTTTTCTATCCCTCCTTTTCCAGTGAAAGCCATCTAACTCGAGGTTTCGTCGCGTACTTGGTCTCGGTTGAGGTCAAGTGTTCTCATTCCAACGCTTGTTCGTCATACATAAGCATGAGGCATTGCTGCTGTAAGAGTGTGAGTAAAATTGATGTCACTTTCTTTCCATGCATTCCTTCCTCAACTCAGTCTCTACATGCCCTTCCATTCAAATCCGCAAACCTCTTTCGAGACTTTCACTCTTTCTTCTTTTCATTTTACCATATCCAGCCCCCAGTCACAAATCATCCAACTCAGTCAGTTTCAGCATTCCCACCCGACTGCCCCTCCTAGGCCCTTATCACAGGACCGTTCCTGACACCATCATCGACCCTTCTCCAGGCACGACCCAGCAAGCGCGCTCGGATCGGTGACCTGTCTTCCAGCGCATCTGACATCAGCATTGATCCCCCTGACATCAGCGTCAGAGACCCCAGCCTATCAAAGCCGCTCGCATTTATCGACCTGAATATGGGGCCGCAGCTAGCGGCTAAGAAGGAGACGCCTAAGCCGCCCCCCGCCAGCGAGTTTGTGGGGCCCAGGGGGATCATCCGGCGCACCGAGTATGTCAGGCTGATTACACAGGTGAGGCGAGCGTGGGACGGTTGATGTGCAGAGGCCAAGACTGTCATGTGAATAAATACTGGCTGCAACGCATCCCGCTTAAAGTCCTTGCAATTCCTGTTGCTTTAGATTTGGCACAAGTTTTAGCAGTAAGAACTGCGATGATAAAACACTGTGTGATTCGTCGGGAAATCTATTTTTTGCTGCAGCAAGTTCGATTCGTTGGTCATTCTCATCAAACCCCTTAGAGATTTCAACTTCGTTGAAGCTTTCTTATTCGTTTTTTTGACTTGTGAATTATTCAACATGCTCCTGCGGTTCTTGATAAGTGTACCGAAGAGAAACTTGCAGACATCATGCACCTGGACCTTCACTTCTCTTGGCAAAGGGACATCTTCCTGTCATCTTCGCTGCCGGTCAGGATTGCATAGGGCTCAACCGGTTGTTTCTTCGTTTGCAGGCTCTCCGAGGCTTAGGCTACTCCAGCACCGCAGCGCGGCTGGAAGAGGAGTCGTCCATTCCGTTACAGTCGGACGCAGTGAACCGGTTACAGGACGGCGTGCTCGTCGGACGCTGGGAGGAGTGCGTGACGCTCTTGCGGGAGCTGCGTCTCGACAACCAGGACGTGTACAAGAACGCCAAGTTCTTGATCCTGCAACAGAAGTTCCTGGAGGCGCTGGAAGAAGGGTCCACGGGTCTGGCGCTCAAGGTGCGTCCTTTTCTACCTATGCGTCCCCTGTTCTTTTGCTCCACCCCCACCCCATTTCCCTCCCTTTCGTTCTTTACCCCCTACCTTAATCAGAAAGTAAAATTACCTTTGACAGAAAGTGCCTCGACAACGAGGACGAGTATAAGAACGCCAACGTTCTTGATTTTGCAGGTGCTTGGAGAAGCTGAGAAGGATCCACAGGCCTTGCTCTTAAGATGCGCTTCTTTGTTGGCTTCATGTCTTTTAAAAATGAGCATCGTGCGTTTGGGAGGTACGGTCCACAAGGAAGGAAAGACTTGAGGGATGTGGATTCATTTTTGTTAGCGCCTCATTCAGCTTTTTGAGGATTCTGTTTGGGTCTCCTCAAATGAGTAATTCCCTTGTTGTAAAGGCTTAGCAACAGCGTACGAAAGAAAGACAGGATGGTACCGATCAGAAGGGACGAGAAGATTTCCTTTCCGCTGGTCAGCTAGAACGAACCGATGCACACTGGACACCAAACCGCTGGCAACATCTTTCTAAGCAGCGTTAGGTGAGGAGTTACCTCGTTGCTGCAGCAGCTACGATGCTTCTACTGACGATCTAAGTATCTTTAGAGAAACAGCACGAAGCCCGAGAGTGTCCATAGCAAGAACGAAGGAACGGAGCCAAAGACCAATTATTTCACTTAAATGAAAGCTCTTTTCTTTCCTTGCAGGTTCTGCGGAACGAGCTGGCCCCCCTGAAGGTCAACGCCCCGCAGCTGCACCGCCTTGCCGCCTGGGTTATGTGCACCAACTCCGCGGACCTCCTCGCGCAATCCCACTGGTCTCCGGGGGAGAGCCGCAACAAACTGCTGCTGGATCTGCAGCGACTGCTCCCGCCGAGCGTGCTGATCCCGGAGAAACGGCTAGAGGTTCTGGTGGAACAGGCGTTGGCGCACCAGCAGGCGGCGTGCGAGTTCCACAACACGCAGGACGAGGCGTTCTGCCTGTTCGCGGACCACAAGTGCGGGCGCGACCAGATACCCACCGAGACGGTGCAGGTGGGGAGCGCTTGTTGGGCTTGTTCGGTTCTGCTCTCTTTGATCAATGCCTTCGAGGCTTGTTTTACAAAAGTCCTCGAGGTTTACCCGTTTGCGGACTTCAAGTGCGGGCCAAACCAGATACCCATAAAAGGGTGCAGGTGGAACGGGACTGATGCTGAGTCTGCCGATTTGATTGAGTCATTGTCGTGATTAAGGGTTTGTTGCTGTGTTTGAGATTTTTGTTAGAGCTTAGTCCTTGTTGTCTCTCTCCAAATCCAGCAGATACTGCTGCTAGGAGTGAGGCCTGATTGAGTGGTTGCATAGGGGACAGCAATCATTGGGTGCTTCTCCCTTTCGAAGAAGGCTTCGCTCCTCTTTAAGCTTTCATCTCCCTAATCGCCCATCAGTTTAACAGACTGGCGCTGCTTATTAGACGAGCTAGCCGAAAAGCACATTGGATCTTGTAAAGCTGCGAGTCTCGACTCGCTGAACGACCTTGCGTGCCAAGGACCAGCCATGTTACCGTTTCGGGCTCGCTTTCTCCATCCCTTCGCTTTTCACTGCAGTATGCACGTTTAAGCAACCGTCATGCCTCTTCCTGCCGAAAACTAGTGCTGTAGTACGATTGCAGTGTCTCGACTTCGAGTTCTTCGACGCTGTTGAGGCTACTGCCATGATGATCCGGTTTGAAGGTGCAATATATGAGTCTTTTCTGCTCTGCTTCACTGGTGAGCGCGCTCTGATGGATGACTGGTCATACCCCGTCAGCAGCAATGAAGACGAGCATGGGAGCTTCTGAAGCCAAGCTGCGGATCTCACCCCCGAAGCTGCTCAAAGGCAACGGGTGTCGTTGCAAGCAATACGATTGTGCCATCGCCTACGTCCTGGACGAATGTTGCTCACTTGACACCCATGCGCTTTCTGAACCCTTTGGCTACTTTTGTGTTAGCCTCCCAAGCATCCCCCATGTGGTTAATAGACCGACTCGCTGAACTTAGCAAGCGTTTGTGAATTTTAGCGAGCCTCTTGTACTCATCGAATCACTGTTGTACGTGCTTGCAAAGTCGTTGTGTAAGTTTCCGGATGCCTCCAAACCAGCCTTCCAAGTGCTCGTTTTGGCGAGGATGGTACCACGAAGAGCTTGTTGCTCAGGCGGCACCAAGCCTGAACGTGTGTCCAGATGCCACTTGTGCAAAGTGGTGGAAGTTACTTGTTACAGTCCCTACAGTTTTCCTACTGGAATTAACAAGTCCTTGGATGAGATGCTTACTGCTCTACTTCCAAAGTGCGGGCCCGTAGTCAGGACAATTGCTGTAATACACATTTATGCGACTAGGACACGCCGGCAGCTTTTTTCGGTCCATTACTGCACAGTGATGAAGAAACTTCGTTTTGGAGTAGAGGCCCCCTTTCTCCGAAATGAGCTGTTTCTGACGGTCTCTGTCATTTGTGGATGCTTGTCGTTCCGAGGACTCTTCTTTCACCAGACAACCTGTCAAATGCCACGAGTCTGGCTGATCAAGTGTCTGCTGTAGCTGTTGTAATGTTTACCACAATGGAGGATGAATGCACGTCCCTGTGAGGATTGAATTCTGCAGCAAGAGACAACTCTTTGTCTGAGTCGCCCGAGACTCACTCCTTTTAGGAATGGTGCAAGGAGTGCGTTGGCATAGACCTCTCTTTTGGTTCAATCTTCTTAGCATTCATGTGCAACATGCAGCTGACTATTGGCAGTGGGCAGTGGTTCTTTTTGAGGGCAGGCAATGTCGCCGGTCTAGCATCCTCGATACCCATCTGACCACGTTCAACTTTGTCGTACCCACCGTTTTCTTTTGCCCAGCAAGCTTCTCTTGAGGTGTACACAATAATGACTCGGCTTGGTTTGAATTGAAGGTTCTGAATCCCCCTCAATCTGTGCCCACTGTTTTTCTGTTTGATCAATCTGCGCCGCCTCCTCATCAACGCTTGCAATCCCTCGGTCCTGTAATTGTTGAGTAGGTGCAGCTCCTTGGGCAGCTAAGTCTTCACGGGTGTACCTCTCCTGCAGACAAGAGTAGAAGGTTTTCCTTTCAGACTGAGCTTACTATTCCTCGTCGATCCCGCAGGTACTTGAGGCGCACACGGATGAGGTCTGGTACCTGCAGTTCTCGCACGACGGGAAGAAGCTGGCGTCAGCATCGAAGGACAACACAGTTATTATCTGGGAGGTAAGGTGCCCCGTTCGAGTTACCTGTTGGAGCTCGCACTTGGTCGAGCTTTGAGCTTTTGAAGCCGCACGTTCAAAGAGTCCCGTGTGAACTTCCGCGAAGCGGAGTTGAGCTGTCTTTAGTTGTACGGTGTCAATATCATCTAAGACCCGGCGTTCTGAACCTCCCCCAGGTGCTTTTCAAACAGCATTCAAGCAGCGTCCGGGTTCTCCAGGGCCATGCAAAGCTGCTCTTGGCTGACCAAGCGGCGCAGCAAAGTTCCTTTAGTCGCATCGTTGAAAGCTCTATCCTGACCTTTGGAGTCAACCTCAGGTCTGGGCTGCAAACAACGTCCACGTCCTGCTTAAACTTCCGAGCCACGCAAGCCGCTTTAATTGTGTCGATTCTTCATTTTCATTGCTGAATGCGGTTTTTCAGCTGGCCCGATTCACGTTGCTCAAACTGACCGTCCATCTCATTGCCGGTAAACGACGGCCAGGTTGTGCTCCAAGGCGACGCCAAGCAGCTCTCCCTGGCCAAGTGGGGACGTCCAAGTCTAGATTGCACCTTTCAACCTCTCTGCAACGTGGCCGCTGAGTTCCCTCAGGTGTGCTGCAAACGACGTTCAAGTTCTGCACACTTTCCAAAGTTACTCCAAGCTGCTTCACTCAATTCAACGCAAGCACAAACTTTCTGCTGGCCCATCCGATGCTAATCAAAGCTCGCCCCCAACCCCTTCGCCAGGTGCACGCGGCAGAGTACGTCAAGCTTTGCGGGACAGCAGAGCTCCTTTAGTTGCACTCCTTTAAGCTCTCCTAAGTCTGGCCTTCCAGATTCTTTCCAGACACGGGCCGCAAAAGAATCCCAGAAGTCACACCTTTCTGCGAAACGCCAACGTCTCCGCACGTTGCTCAGCTTGCCTACTTGAGTAACCCAGTAACTATTTTTGTCCTTTCAGGTGCACGCGGCAAACGACGTCCAAGTTCTGCACGTCCTCCAAGGCCACGCCAAGCCACTCTCGTTCGTCGCCTGGTCGCCCGACGACTCGCTCATCCTGACGTGCGGCAACGACAACAAGATCAAGCTGTGGGATACGCTATCCGGCAAGCTGCGGCGCACTTATGATAAGCACGCGGACCCCGTGACCGCGTGCGCGTGGTTCCCGGACGGGCGGCGGTTCGTTTCCGGGGGGGTGGATAAATGTACGTTCATGTGGGACATCGACGGGAACGAACTGGAGCAGTGGGCGGGCGCGAGGATCAACGACCTGGCAATTAGCAGCGACGGGGCGCAGATGGTGAGGCGTCGGTTTGTTTTGTTAGAGTGCGTTTTTGCCCTCATCGATATTATGAAGGTGCAAGCTTCATTCAGGCAGTGTCCTAACACCAGCGCGCTAAGCTCCTTCTCTTGGACTGGCGTTTTCAGTAAGAGCTTTCCCCTACGCTCCCCTGATTCTCGTACTTACTGGACGCTTGGCGAGTCGTCTCCTTCGCCACTATTGCCTAGATTGGCAGCGATGTATGGAAGTACAGCCGTCGGATACTTACGGTTTTTCTTTTATCAAGACTGCACGTTCTCTGATCCCTACGGCATGTCCTGTCCGCTTTTTCGAAGGCATTCGCTGCCAAACCATACGTTTCCTTCTTGCATCCTCAACCAGCCATTTGCTCAGCGTCTTATCAAGGTTTGTTACGCTTTTGTGAATCTCCAACCTCTCTCCGTACCGAGCAAGAAGACCCATCGATCAAATTGCTATTCCTCCAACAGAAGCACCGACCTTTGGTCCGAATTGCACTGCAATCGTCGAGAAAGTGCCGATTGCCTTAACGACTGAGCCCCTTCTGTTCGGTTTTGCAGATCAGCATTTGCAGCGAGAAGAAGATTCGCATCTACCGCTTCGCTGATCGCTCGGAACAGACCATTGACGAGGTGGAGAGCATCACGAGCCTGTGCATCTCAGGGGACAGCCGTTACCTGCTCGTCAACCTGAGTAGCCAGGTAAGGAAGACTGGTATCTGCCTCTGATCTGCACGAGTCGTTTCAGTGTGCATTTGGAAGCCAGTGCTCCGCCCAGTCCTTGGCAGCAATCCCAGCTCACGTCAAAAGATTAGGAGGGAGACGACCAGGTTTGACCAGCAAGGCATGTCAGGTGTCCTTTTATAGCAACATTGACCTTCAGATATTTTGCAAATACGTGCGAGCTTTTGAGTACTCTTGTTTCTGGCAGGTAGCCAAAGGTGAGGGTCCGCCTGCAGGTTGCGGACCTGCTTTGTTTTCAGAAACCACCTTGAGCACTGAACCGTGTCAAGTGAGGCGCTCTCGTTAAGAACGTCGTTTGGTGAAGCGAGCAATATTCAGGCTGACAGTGAGGTCCAGATCACTTAGAGTTGCTAACTTTGTTCCGGCTTTTGCCAATCACCTGCCCCCTTGTGCCAGGTGATCCATCTGTGGGACTTGGGGGCCAGCCGGCTTCCGCAGAAGCCCGCCATCCGCTACAAGGGCCAGAAGCAGGGGCGCTACGTCATCCGCTCGTGCTTTGGGGGTAGCGCGCAGAAGTTCATTGTCAGTGGGAGCGAAGACTCTCAGGTGAGGTTCCAGGAGCAAAGGAGTTCGGGGCCTTCTTTGAGCCCGGATTTGGACCAGATGTACTCCGACTGAGAAGGAACTGGCGCTTCCACATCCTAGGTGCCCTGATCTCGCTCTGGGGTCAGGGAAAGATTCGTTTGTCCATCTAGTAGATGTGAGGGTTAGGACTTGTGAAGCAGGACACGCAATTTGGCTGCGTTTGCCTCCGGCCGCGAACTTGGAACCAGCCCTCGTGTCTTCTTAGTTTACATTCTGGGTAAAGTAGTATTTCAGGAGGACTCTCATCGGCCGTTTCTGGAAATCTGGGTGTGGCAAAAAGGATTCTTAATCGTGCACGTTGAGAACTCCGTTTGCTCAGCGTGGGCCTGCTCGCGACATTTGCGGTAAGTGTAAGTCCACGGTTCCGGGCCTTCCGGCGAGGCTTGCGAGTCTTACGCCTTGGGTTCTGATTCAGGTTCTGATAACGACTCTTCGCTTTTCAGGTGTACATATGGCACTGCGGCACATGCGCTTGGCTTCAAAGTTTCCCCAGGCGACTCGGGCACAACTGACCTGTTCAGGATGCTACATGGGCACGGTCTCAACAGCAACGACGTCACCAGATTGCTCTTCTGACATTTACGCGTTTCCGTTTCAGGTGTACATATGGTACCGCGACCCAGGCGACTCGTGCGAAGTCCTCCCGGGCCACTGGGCAGCTGAAATTCTCGAGGATAGCTACATCTGCCGTGGTCTCAACAACGATGAAATCACACATATCACCAAGTTGACATTGACGCGTCTCCGATTCAGGTGTACATATGGCACCGCGGCACGGGCGACTTGCTCGAAGTCCTTCCGGGCCACTCCGGCACCGTGAACGCCGTGAGCTGGAATCCTACCAACCCCCACATGTTTGCGTCGGCTTCCGACGACCACACGATACGCATCTGGGGTCTTCGGAAAGACAAGCAATCGGAAGAGGAGGAGACGGAAGGGAGGGGACTTGCGGTGGCGAATGGGGTCAAGTCGGCCAACGGAAGTGCGCATTGACAGGTGACCTCTGGAGAGGTGATGTTCGAATAGGTGACGTCAGGAGAGGTGACGTTTTGGAAAGGTGGTGGTTGGTGGTAGGCCGGTCGGCCGCTTTGTACAGAGTTTGGGGTTGTCGAAACATTCTTGGTATGACCTTCGTCCCGGAAGGAACTGTTGCCATTATGAATTGGGTCATTTACATGTGTCATCTGGAGCTTTGCCATGGCATTGACCTCAAATGTATCTGGTTTTGTCAAAAGGAACTGTGACCAAAAGAGCTGATTGTCTGATGTTCACTTTATTGTTGCCTATTGGCTGTGGCTGGCATGAGGAGCATGGCAGCCAATGACTTGGTTCTATTGCTAACACAAGCGCTGACGATGTGAAAGCCGTGTAGCTCGCGACGTGAGTGTCATCAAGAACGCTTAACCGAATGTATCGCACATCACATCTCTTACATTGACTCCGCTGGCAATGACGACACAGCATTTGGGGTTGGATTCTCACCCGTGGTTGACAAATTGAACGCCAGTAGAAGTCAAAAGGTTTATGCTCTTGAGGCGGGTTTGAATCTTGTCTCCGGTACTTTACATGCGTGACTTCTAGAAGCGCGGTTTTCTATGAGTTGATTACCTCTAGGCTTTGTTGAGGATCTGCTTTTCCTACCCAGGAGTAGTCGTGCTTCTTTTACGTTGCTATGCTTTCCCTGTTTGTTCAAACGTTAGTTGGCTGATAGTGACAACCGCATCCTTTAGAGAAACGAAACAGTTGAACAAGCAATTGGGCTTATTGTCTCGCGTTTTATGCAATGCCGAGGTGATGTCACACTTTCCACCCCGCAATAATCTCAGCATTGTTGTCTCTCTAAGGTTGCTGTCCCCACGTTCCGTGCGTCTAGTTGGCTCGGCCAAGACAAGAGAGGGACTGAGTACTCGAGCGCTCATTTGCCTCGGAGCCAGCTTTGCAGATGATGAAGACTGCTGCAAGAACTAGGATTTGGTCAGGATGTAAATATCATTCCGATATCTGCAACCTTCTCTTCCATATCCCAATATCATAGGATCTTCCCAACTGGGTGTCCTTTTTCATGTAGGTAGTGTCTAATTTGAGCCGTGCTGGAATGGAGTTATTTCAGGCGAGCAGTCATCTACTCGCGATCGAGCCCTGGCCATGATTTGCACTCTTGGCCTCAATAAGGCCTTTCAATTTGACCACGTTGCTGCATGAGCCACGCATGATTGGTCTGCTTGGTCGTCTGTTGCAGCAAGTTTTCGGCCTCTACTGTTCACTTCTATGTCGTAAACAGTTAACAATAGGATGAGCTCGGCTGTTCGCCCTTGGCTGTCACTGGCTGCGCGGCTTGAGTCCTCTTGAATCCTTCATATTTGCAATGCCTTTTTGTTCATGTAAATGTTCTCCCTCTCCTCATTGCTTCTTATTTAAGTCACCTGGTCGGTCACAAACAACGTGTTCACTCCCTCCCTAAACTCCGCACTGAGGTTGGCCTCGAGCCCCAGAAGTATTGCTGGATGCTAGACATTTCAGCCTAGCGTGGTACTGGCCGGTTTCGGCGGGCACTGAAAGGAATCACGGTGACTTTCATACGACAGATGCTGACTGCCGCGATCAGTAAAGGAACTAAGCCTCTGGCAGGCTTCCAGAAGCGCCGTCGTCTTTGAATCTGTTGCTTCGTTCCTGCTCCCCAAACTTTTGAAACCAATGGCAAAGTTACGCGCTTACATATTTTTGGCCTCATTTGCAATGAGGGGTCGCTTACCTCGGGTTGCTGTTCCCTCGCGTGTTACTCTAAGACCGTTGGCTCTAATCAGACTCACGGTAGAGGCCGCAAACAAGCAACGCAAGACTTGGGGAGCTCGCCATGGATCTGCTGAGGTTGGAGTATTTCTTTTCAGGCCACGCAGATTGCCAAATTGGAATTCTCCCATAGGCTCTGGGGTCAACGGTCTTAGTTGTGCCGGGACCTTGTCTTTCTGCCATTACCATTGAGCAAGACGATCATAACATCTGCTGCGTCATCGCAGCTTTCCACGATGAATTGGTCCTGCTATCGCTACCACGTTTCTTTCTGGTGACACAAGTCTTCAGCTTGAACCTGTCTTTTGATATGAAACGTGTTGTGCATCTTCTGGCTTGGCTGTGATCGTGGAGCGCAGCATTTTCCAACCCTCCGTTGTCTTTGGCCATGATGGCAGGTGTTTGAGCACCCCTGGGCGCTCAACGCCTTTTGCTAGCGACTGCCTGAAGCCACACTGGACGATGCAACCTTGGTTTCTGCGTCCGCTCTACACAGGAGGATATCGTTGGTGCCTTTTGTTATTTCTCAGTTTGCAAGCGACGGGAAACGAACAGCGCTTCTCGCAGCAACCAGGGATTGGCGGCATGTCACTGAGTGTCTAGAATGTCAACGTGGCAAAGGGGAGGCGCAGGTCTTGTGTGCTTCACCCATGCATGGTGGGTTTCGGTGCGGGGAGCCTCCAGACCTTTCGCTGGCAAGGATGTTCACGGACCTGGAGTTGCACCCTCCAAACCTTCACTTTCTCGTTGAGAAGGCTGCCAGTGGCTTCTTTGATGATGTGCCGTTTCGCAAGTCATCCCACCGAACCCTTTCACTTATCCAAGCTTCGAGAACTGCATGCGTTTCCGGTTTCAGTCAGTGCTGCGCTTAGACACCTGTTGACTGCTAACCTGCCGTGCGTGACTCGATTCCATGCTTCGTAGCCTACGTGCTTCTGCCTTTAAACAGGAGGGCCTTCGTTTATCACTTCACTATGTTGGACGTACGGAACAATCATTTCTGGTTCTTTGCTGATCATTAGCAGCGTGCTCAAAGACGCTGCTGCGTAAATAGATCTTGGACCTGTCAATACAGCCGCTGTGGAAAGAAGGTCCGTTCAGGCTTCTTCGCATTGGTGAAGAGTGCAGAATCTCGGGCTGTGTCTGGCGGGGAAGAAAAGGCGTCGGGTTGATGAGCCGGGGCTCAAACGTTTCATGGTTTTATGCTGGCCTGGATGAACAAGCCGCTGAGCCAGCGGGGCGTTCAGTCTCGCTTTGCTCCTTCGAATCTAGCCGCGTTTGTTCTTGCAAGAGAGAAGCTTGCGCCGGATGTCATTGTAATTGTCCTCCGACGTGCTCTCGTGTATGGTCTACCCGCAAGGTCTTTTTGACGACATAATTCCCATGCTAGGGGAATATCAGCTGACTCTTGTTGAATTGGTAGTTTGACTTACGTGCAGTTGTCAGGTTCTCTTGTTTGTTGGACGATTAAGGCGCGGTACATAGCTTGAAGGGTATTCGAAGTGGTTGCAAGGGCTATCAACTTTTCTGAGTGCATTTGCGCTTGTCTGGCTGCTTCATCATGTTTTGATCAGGACAATCAGGAACACTTCGGGCGTACACAGACATTGGGTTTGGCACAGTGCACAAATGAGCGCTAGGAACGATTGAACATCCGAGTCTGTTCTTGGGTGAGGTAGAGACTTTTTCTATAACACTTGCTTTTCACACCGTTCTCTTCTTCTATGAGTTAAAAGGTGGCGCTGGTATCACGCGTTGCGTCTTTGAGGGGAGTTTTCCGTTGTATTCGAGGCTGCCTTTCAGACCACTGACGATCAAAATCAGCCATCTCTACGGTCGGTGCCACATGCAGACAGTAAAGATAAGCTTTTCTCTCACATCCTGGATGATCCAATCTTTCGTTGTATTTTGATAAAGGTGTGTTTTGAGCTTGTTCGCTTCTGTAGGCCACGATGGCAGCAGGCTTCAGAGTGACCCGAAAAGCTCAGGCTGGCATGATGCAGGTTCTGATGCCACGGTAAACAAGTTTTGTCCATTTGTACGCCCGTACTGTCCTCTGCCATCCCAGAAATATGGTCATTTGTGCCCTTTGTTTGGCGTCCGTACGTTTTGCAATGTACAGCTGTGGAACAGCGGTTTGCGCACTCTTAGCAGGTCACGAAGGCACATCGTTCTGAGGCATAGGGCCACGTCGATGAAGGGAATGCGCATTATCGACTGCCTGCTTCTCGAAGCAAACTTACCTCCAACTTCCAAGCGATATCCAGAAAAGACAGATTGCATTGAGTCTCGTTCGGTAGGAGTGTACGTCTTTTATGCTAAACTGGCCAGGACGACAAACCAATTGAGGACGGAAACGCTCATGGCAGCAGTGCTTTTGAACGTAGCCAGCTCGAACGGCGCACTCTGCACCATTGCGAAGCGCTGCGGACCTCGAGACGTTCTCGTCAGGAAGAACATCTTAAGCCTCGCTGAACTGCGGCTTGAGCTTTTATGCAAACAGCCCAGCTCACTGATCAATCGTACGATACGCCTTAGGGCCTTTTTAACGTAACTAGCAGCGCCTAGCGCTGATGCAATCCTCGTGCCGTAGTCCAAAACCTGTCCCGCCAAGTCGGTCTTCCTGACGACCATTACCTCAGTTCCAACTACGTTGGCGTAGGTTTCAGTGTCTTTGGGTTCTCCCTGCACCCATAATCTCTGCAACGGCCGAATTGTTTGTCGGCGAGCTTTGGAACTCTCTACTTGTGTACAGTGGCCATGTTGGCAGGGAGCTTTTGAGCAAGCGTGCATCGCTCACAAATGAGTGAACGGCCTGCGATGCCTCATCCGTCGAGTTTGTGATCGCTTTTGGCGCCGTCGAGATGTATTCGTTGGTGCTGTTTCTTCGGATTTCCCTTTTGTAAGATGACGGAATTAGCCAGCTCATTCCTAGTCACACAGGATACTTAAAAGACACGTCGTTTCTCAGGTTGTCTAGTCGGCTCAAGGAAAGCACACTGGCAGGAGACCCGTCCGTTGTTGGCAATTGAGCGCTTGGCTGATTTGTGTGGCGCTGATCGGAGGTGCCACACATACCTATACGGTGATTTCGTGTGTTAATCTTGATAAGGGCTGCCTTGACTTACGTGATGGCAAGTTTTCGCTCCCTCTAGAAGTTTTTCGTGACATCTGGGCCGTTGTCTCGCTTGCGTGCCTGCATGCGCGGCACGTTCGTAGAATCTATCGTGGCATTTCATTAGGGCGGGGGTGTTCTTGAGAAGCCTTTGAGAACAACAGTTGCAAAACGCTCATAGTTTGGGCATCCATCGTCTTCTTCCTTCCAGCACGTAGGGTAATCCTGGCAGTTATACTGGTGGAGCAGGTAGAGGTCGGATGAAGGCAGGTCTAGGTTGCTGGTGCATGCAGTAATAGCAACCCTCCAAGTCGCCGCTGTTTATAGACTGTCATGATCTGCCAGGTAC